TAATTGATCAATACAGCCTCTTCCAGGTCGAAATCCGGCTTGATTTGGCCTTGTTCGCACGTGGCGTTCGGCAGCGAAGCGGTTCAGGAGAATGGAAACAAAAACCTTAGCAGCGATATCAATCAGACTTATGCCTCGGTAGTTCTCACATATTGACCTGTCTCCCTTTTTGTGGAACGGTAGCAAAACTGAGGTGCTCCAATCGGAAGGAATGGTTTCGGAATCCCAAATTGAGCAGAACAGCGAGTGCAGCGAATCGATTAGCGCTGGAGTGCAAGCCTTGTATATTTCTGGAGGTAAACCATCTTCGCCCGGAGCTTTTTTGTTTCTGAGTTTGTTAACTGTTTTAGCTATTTCGGTTGGAGTGGGTGGATCGCAGTCAACTACGTAGGGTGTTGGTAAGTGTCGTATCTGTCGATGAGACGGTTCACCAGCGTTGCGATTGAGTAGCTGCTTGAAATGTTCGGCCCATCGTTCCATCTTACCATTGGTGTCCGAAATAATTTCTCCTGATGCTGTGCGTAACACAGCATGGCTGTTAAGGCGTTTGCCAGATGATAGGCGTATGAGGCGATAAAGTTTTCCGAAATCGCCTACATTTGATGCTCCTTCCATGTTAGTCGCCACATTAGACCAATAGCTATTTCTGTCATTCCTAGCAGACTGTGTGGCTTTGCGCCTGAGGGAGCGATAAACTGGAGACTTTGCTAGGCGAGCGTCTCTGGCTTGCGAGGATAGATGCATAGTGTGCTCTGAAATCCAGTCTTTCTGTTTGTTGGATGTGGTACCCAAATGCGACATTGAAGCTTTAGAGACTACTTCTTTGAAATGATTCCATCGTGTCTCAGGTGTATTAGAAGATGTGGATGTTGGCTCATCTGCGGCGCTTAGTTCGGTCTGGATTTGTTTGGACAAGGCTTGTCGCTTTATCGAACATTGAAGCGGGGCAACATTGATACGCTTCGGAGGTCGCGCCTTCTGGCGTGTTGTTAAACGAAGTTTGAATTTCGCCCTAACTAGAGTATGGTCTGATCCCCCTTTATTTCCGGCCTCTGCGCCACGATAGGATCGGCAGTCCTCCACCGAGGAGATCCAGCGTGAGCGCACTAGGATGTAGTCAATCTGATGTGCAGTGCGACCGTCGTTCGAATACCAGGTGAGAAGATGTTTTCTAGGGTGTTGAAATAGAGTGTTGGTGATATATAATCGATTGTAATCAGAAAAAGCTAAAAGTCTATCACAATTACGGCAGTGCTGATCGAGACCGTGTTTGCCTAGTATATGTTTTGTCGCGTCGTCTGAAGGGCCAGTGCGGGCGTTCCAATCGCCGGCTACTATGAGAACGTCGCGCTTTGGGATTTTGTTGATTGCCTCTTGAAGATTGTCATAAAATTTATCTTTGATACTTTCATCAGAGTCGAGGGTTGGGGCATAGACCGCGAGAACAGAAATGTCGAGCGGGGAACCCTTGAACCTAGCGATTGCAACTCTGGAGTTGACCGGTTCGAACGATATTAGGGCATTATTGGCTTTGTTACTGAGAGCAAATGCTACCCCATGTTGTCCCGAATTATTCTGAGGTCCACTATGAAGCAACCAGAATGAAGAATCTGTTCCAGGTACGGCTATTCGGCGGGAGCCATGATCGGGTAACCTCACTTCAGATAGACACGCTATGTCCAACTTGTAGTCGTACAAAGAACGCATGGTGATAGACTGGCTACCAGGATCCAATAGCGTCCTAACATTCCAGCAGCCAACAAATAGTTGGTTTCTAAGTGTTAATTTCCCAGCTGGCTTACTTTTCACACTGGCCACCGGGTGAGCACAGGGCGCGTCGCCTACCGGGAACGCCGTAGCATGGTAAGAGTAGTTTGTAAGAGAGTTCATGAAGTTTCATGGGAATTTGGTACCAGTGATGTCCCCAGAATCGCTCGGCCTTTTGTTTGAGAGTGCAGCTCTAGCCTTTACACAACCAAGTGTGACCTACAAGGCAGTAGGAGTGGAGTGGAGAGTCCACTATCCATTGGCAGCCGGTGACCGGAGTTCGGTTCATACGCCTTTTGAATGGGGCCAGACATCCAGGACATCCAACAAACCCTTTGTCCATACGTCTGCCGGTGAGCTTCATACGCCAGTCGTTGGAGGTTTGGAATCAGGGTTTAGCCATCTCCCCTAGACTGTCATCCAATGGACAGTCAACCCGGTGAAGAGCGCCGGGCATCCGCTTTCGCCATCTCACTTTGGTGAGAAACACCTCCGCCACGTGAAGGCAGTGAGTAGGACTTCCTCAGGAGAGGCTATGTAAGACGCCCGGTCATATGGGAGCATTTCAAGAGGTGTGCGGAGGGGTGGCCAACCCGCAGCGCAAGGCACCCACGCCCGACCATCCTGAGGCTTTGGAGTTCAATGTACACTGCACTGAATAAAAAAGCGAAGAGGAGGGCTAGAAAAGACGAACAACAATTCTACGACACACTGTCCGGCGACTGAAGCAGAACAGGCCGCAGGCAAAAGAGATATCAGGACATTATATAAGATATCCAATGTCTCTATCCGGAAAACGATCAACCTAGATGATGAAACCAATAAAAGATGCTCAAGGGAACCTGGTCACCAAGGTGAAGAAACAAATCAGGAAATGGGCTGATCACTTTATAGGACTCTTGAATCGCCTACCACTGGCAACTCGCCCAGAAATGCCACCAACAGCCAGTGGGCATCAATCTTCCAACGAAAGCAGAAATACTAAATGCCATCAAGCTTTTGCAGTCCGGGAAGACAGCAGGCCCAGAGAGAATTTCCCCCAAAGCACTGAAAACGGACCCAAAGAAAGCCGCAGATGTGCTTACGCCATTATTGAATAAAGTTTGGGAAGAAGGAAAGGTACCTACCAATTGGATGAGAGGTTACGTCGTAAAGCTGCCAAAGTAGGGTGACTTATGGCTGTGCAAGAACTGGTGTGGAATAATGCTCTTGTCCACGCCAGGTAAAATACTATGTTGCGTCATATTGGAGAGAATAAAGAATGCACTGGATACAGAACTCCGCCCGGAACAAGCTGGATTCAGGAAAGGAGAATCATGTGCTGATCAGATTGCACAGAGAAAAGCATAGAATAGCGGTCAAACCTGTACTTCATCGACTTCGAAAAGGCCTTCGACAGACAGCCTTGACCGATAAGTAATTTGGAAACTACTTCAACACTACGGTGTGCAGTGCCCAAATCTTTATCAACCTCATTCAACACCTTTATGACAGTGCTCTTGTAATCTATATTCGCACCTCCTAACTCCCATCTCAAGTCGAAAATTATTATTTCAATTTTGTTTCCATGCTCATTTTTACACACTTGTTATCCGTTCTAAATTTGTTTCTAAGCCTCTCATAAACCATATCTAGTTGAAAATAATTGTCACCTTATATTCGCCGTCTTAATTATGTGGAATCAAACAAGAATTGTATCCATGTAGCATTATGTACTTAAATGTGATTGTACAGCTTTTGAAAATGAAATCGCCGAAAAGATATCTTTACTGAACTTCGTGTTCTCTTCTTTCTCATGTTCTAATGGGTGCTTCCAACTATCAGTTAGTCATATCGGTAGTTAGCATGTATTCCAGCTATACGGGGGGGGGGGGAGTACATTAAAACAATTTACTTAAGCATTAGCAAAAGCAGAAATTTTTGACTAAAAAGTATGAAAGTCTTCGGTAATGTAGGTGCTTAATAGTCGGTTAGTTAGTCAGTCAGTCAGTCACGAAGGTGACATTTTGATATCACTTAATGATAATTAAAAAGTACAAGTCAGCTTCAGCTTGTCACAATTTGACACTGGAACGGTACCTATTTAATGGGCAAAACTTGAACATCTGTGTTGAGAAGGGAACTGTTGAAGGTCTTTTTCCACCATTACAGTGGTGAAATAACCTTAATTAGTTATTTTATATTTAGTTTTGACAGTTATATTTCATATCTTTAATTCTAGTCTTTAACCAAACACTACTGACATGACTTTTACTCCGTTTACTTTGATCACTTAAACTCAACGAGGCCACATATCTCTTACATAACGGTTAATTTTACATCGCTAACTTCCATTCCTGACTCAGGAATATTCTTATGATTTTCCTGTATATGCCAACAAGATTATTAACACCTAATGTTCTTCCACTTCAACCCTTCGTATAGTATTAATAACCTGCCTCTTCAAGATAATTAATTCAAGCATGCGAACATTTTGGTATTTCGGCATAAAAGTTGTTTCAGATTGCAGACAGTTGACCAGGATCAACAAAATACAATGATATCATATTGTCCTATTCAATTTATTCTGCTTTCTTTTGTTTAAGTTTTTATAAACAGATTTCCTTTAATCTTTAACAATCAAGTTACACTATTACTTTGAATAGTCACTAGATAGTAACCAATGTCATGAATGTAGGGCCTTGATTGCTGGTCAGTGCAAACTGAATTCTATCAAGTCGAGTTTGCATTATTGGTCAGCAAGCCAGGTGGTAAGCTTGCGATCACTGCGTGCACTCTGGTCGGAGGCAACGCCTCGAGCTAAGCACTTTGTGCGTCGGTGGCACAGTGGTTAGGACTCTCGCCGACCATGCACATGGTCTGGGGTTCGATCCCCTGCCGACGCACACCCGATATCTATGGTCGGCCTGTGAAATTTGGGCTACCGATATCCATGCTGAAAATGCCATACTTGTACTGAAAATACGGTATGGCATCCAGCTGTAATCAAAAATAAATATCAGCAGGAAGCCGGCTCTAGACACTTAGGTGTCATGCTCATCACAGCAAGGCATATCTGAAGTCTTAAAGGGACTCTGAGATTCGAACCCGCGTCACATGTTACATTATATTATAGTCTCATCCACGTATAGGTATGAAAAACAAACAAACAACACTGCCACTTACTATACACCTTCATTATAACTAGTACAAAAACTTTGACTGTGCACAGGAAGTCAACCAAATAAAGGAAATTTTATTCATCTAATATTTATTAACCAATAAAAAAGTCAGTGATAATAATAATAAAAATCTCTCAGTCTTTATTGTACAATAGACAGAATGAGAATAAAAAAGTAATCCTAAAATTCAAATTGGAAAAAAAATAGACTCAAAAATTCTTTTCCGAAAAGAGAAAACGAAGTGCCACATGAAAAACGAACAAAAAAAGAACACATATGGCTCTCTCGCGCTTTCTCTCTCTACAACTACTACAACTATTAAATACTATTAGTAATGACAGCAGTGTAATGACCAGGGTGTATACATGCACACAGTATAATTTGCAATCAGAGGACTGTCAAATGCCTTCAAAAAATTTACAAATTAAAGATAGTGGTGGTTTTGATATTGTTGTAAAAAAATAACAAGAGTAAAAAAATCAGTATAAATCCAACAAAGTAATGAGCAAAATCGATTGTCTTCTCTTCTTCTTCTTCTTTGGTATCAAGTACGCTTAGAACGTTTTGACTGTTGTCTGAAAGGAAGGGAATGAGAGACAGTGTGTGTGATTAATAAATTTAAAAAAGAAACAGACTTCATTTTAAAGAAAGAAAAATAAAAGATTAAACGGAAGTGTAATCATACATAAATATTTGCTAATAAAAGTGAGAAACACAACCAACAATGACTTATTAGTGGATTAGTTCACGTCTACTGTGTCATCCCAATAGCTGAGATGTAGTCAAATTAACTCCATTTTGTCATATAGCGGAATCTTTTACTAGGATAAGAGTGAAAGTTCGTAATGTGCCAATGGCAACAGATTACTACTTGTCCTAAAGACTATTTAGCGACTTCCATTAGGGATTCAGTGTCTGAGTATTTCATTCTACAGGTTTCGTGAAATCATGTCAAAAGCTGAATACAAGACAACACTAAGTAAGTATTATGGACTGCAAACAAGAAATAGGCCGACTAACCCATCTTCATACGAAATATAGAGCATAAAAGCATCGAAAACAGACAGTCAGTGAGATCTAAAAGGGAACAGCTATCGTTGACATATACAATTTTATGCTGCTTCTACCAACAGATAACAAGTACAACTTATTGACCCAAACAGTTGAATTACAGTTACACAAACACACCGAATTTGAAACGGTATTACAGGTGGTAAAGTTCGGCTCTTCCAAACATACGCCACCATTGTTTCCTATTGTTAATGTACTGATAGTGACACTTAGACTTTTCGTCTAACGTCGTTGTGTGTTCTCCCTAAAGCAGTGCGGGCTGGGAAAACAGGTAACTATTGTCTACGATGATGGAGTAGACACAACTGACACTGAGTGTTCACAGTGTCTCTGTGTCCAGCTGGAAGTCTCTATTCCCTGTTCAACGCAACGTTTCTTTTGTAAAATACAAAACATTATAAAATGTAACTATTAAAGAAAAATATCCTCCAGTTAGAGTTTATAATTACATCTGGCGTACTAATGAAATAACTTCCGTGAAGGTATCTTCATCTGGACAACACGTAAAACTCATCTCAATGTCTTTATCAGATGTTTACGTCTATTGAGTAAAACTTCATGCACTTACTCACGGGAAGAAATAACAGTTAAGTGAAGAGTTCTATTATACCTCAAAAGTCTATCGACAATAGGAGACAAGAAAAATGAATTTTTTTATTTATTAAATAACTGCTTTTCTTCATCGAATAATAATTCTTGTAAACACCAGAGTGTCAATCAACAATATATTTGAAGAAGTAGCATTACACTGAGAGGTGATGGGATTCACACTAACGTTCGGTTAAATGAATGACTCATTGCATGTTGGAAATTTTATAATCACCTAAAACAAATACTTAGTAGAAATACGCAGAGACATGTATTAAGCTAATTAGCAGTAGTGATTTTCCAGAAGTGAAACTACGCACTTTATAACTGTTTAAACGGAACGATATCATCCAAATCACACGAAACGAAGGTAACAAATTACTGTGGTAGATCAGCAAGTCAATAGATTAAAAAGGAAGAGTAAATTATGAAGAACAACAACAGAGAAAGCAAACTACGACAAAGTATCAATCTATTTCTTTATAGAAAAAGCTAAAATAAAAATTTAAATTGCTTCACAACATGTTAGCGATGTTTGAGAAGCAAGTGTTACTACTTAACTGTAAGAGAAGTGAGTCACAGTAGCAGGATGTTATCCCACCATATAAATGATTATTTTTAAAAATTTTTTTTATTATAGCTTGATTCCATACAGTGTTTTGGTACAAGTATGAAATTTTCAGCATGTGATATCGGTAGCCCAAATTTAGCAGGCCGACCATAGATATCAGGTATGCGTCGACGGGGAATCGACCCTCGGACCATGTGCATAGTCGGCAAGAGTCCTAACCGCTGTGCCACCGACGCACAATGATCCAATATCATTATTAGTATTATCTACACTGAAGATCAGATATCCTGCGGGAAAGCATAAACAACGAACCAGACGACAACCTATCACCCAACAAATATACAGAAAGAAATGATGATAAATTGAACATCTTCAGGAGACCTTTAAGTGGCATCAAAAGTCAAGCCCTCAAGTAGAACTCGAATAGAAAACGATGGGTAGACAGTCGAAGGGTGACATTCAGAAAATCATGTGAAGAGAAATGATAGCTTGTAGGCGGTTGTGGAGCCACTTGGAAACGATAGTACAAAACCAAGTGCACTGGAAATGTGTTGCTGAAGCCGTATGTAACACTCGGAATGCATGGAACGAATATTAATAATTTATTACTACTCATCTAAAGATAGTCAATAGCATGACAACAAACACTTGGATTTGTTATCTTTGATTTCATTGTTAAGTGAATACATCCTCCTGTCTCTGCAACCACACCATTGAAAAGGTGAACATAATTTTCCGAGATCTGAAGTAACGTAAAACTTTTATTACATAATGGACGTTTAAAAGCTAAGTGTGACCAGTTTACATCAGTAGTTAGGTAACGACAGCAGAATGCTACAACAAACAAACAAACAAACCGTAATGAAGTGAAACGAAAAGAATTTAATAGGCGGCCTAGTTAGATCACTGGATTACCTAAGTCAGCATCCAACACAATGCGTCATATTTCCTCTTATTTTTATTGTTTTAACTAATCAATTATGTTTCTCAGTTGCAGAATGTACTCATGCATATTTTTGATTAGCTTTCAAACTACCGGTGCACATTTCTGAGAGATGAAGTGACAATGTCATATTGTGTAGACATTTAGTCCAGAATAAAGAAAGCTATTATTATAAGATAGTTGGATGCAATCGGCAGGAAGCCTTGGACCTAGGTTTCGTGCTAGTTGGCACTCACCAGTCAGCAAGGCGTATCTGCAACCTTGAAGGAATTCATGTCCCTTCTGAGATTCGAACCAGCGTCACCCAGTGCTGAAGTCAGAGACGTTATTATTAAAAAAAGTAATTGCTATTATGATAACATACATCTAAGTCAACCACAATACACAATACAAAGGATAAAAAAGGTACAATGATTAAATTTACTTATATCTGTTATGACTGCGTCGTAAGGGGTTAGCTATACTTGAAGATAGATCTTTTGTTTCTGTTATATCTGATGATACTTGACTAGTTGATTCAATTAACCTGGGAGAATAGATGATTGTTTTTTCAGGATTAGGATGTGATAAAAATTCTTTGGAATAATGAATTAATTCTGTTGAATTCTCTATAGATATTGACAAATTTCTGTCCAAATCACACGAGGATCGACGAACATCTGATGGAAGACGTGAATAAAAATAATTTAACACAGATTCTGGGTCAGATCTTCTTGTCTCCGACACCATAACATGCTGCCCATTTAACGATGATGCATCATGTTTAGCCCATATCTGATATGTGACAAGGGATAAATGTTTTGACTTTGCTGGCAGATTGGCGGCAGCAGATGTGGACAATTTGACTAGAATAATACGAACAGCAAATTCAACCTGTCTGTCTTCAGCTTCGCGTACAACATCCTGAAAATTGAATACAAAATAGTTGAGTATACTCATCAAAGCCTCCAAATAATTTGCTGAATAAAAAGACTATTCATCTTAGTAGTTAATAATACTAAAATAAAGATGCATTTTCAAAAATATCAAAATATCCAAAAGACTAACGACAATTTTGTAGTATTCCGATTGATTGACTGAGTTTTAATGTACAACTTTGCACAAAAGTGCATCTGGTCATATAACATAGAAATATAGAGGGAAAAAAAATTCATAGGAACTATGATGAATGGAAATTCACGAGAGAGAGAGAGAGAGAAAGGGGATAAATACATAGAGAATCATGAGCATCTAAAGCACCAGGGAGAATACAAAGGCGCGGGTGCAACTAGCCATTTAGAACTACTTTGAAGCATATCACCAACGTCCAGTGGTTTATCGCGTCTTGACAACCCTGATCAAAGATTTCGTGGATCGGTTACAGGGTTTCATCATGAGCTGACATTGGTTACAGAACCAATGGAAAACCTGGGGTACTAGACAGCTGTTTCGTCCTAGTTTGGGACTCTTCAACAGTACGCACCCGCCGGGGTTCGAACCCACGACCTTCTGGTTACAAGGCGAGCTCGTTGACCATTAAGCCACTGGGACCCGATCCACTCGCCCATGAATTCTGACTTTTGCCAATTCACGATATAGCGCAACCGCTAGCCAATGTCTTCGGCGAGTATTTGTCCTCACACCCGACCTGCTGCACCCTACTGGTCACGAATTCATGGATTAATGCCTTGTTTCTCATTCATTAATCTCTAACTCTCTCTTCCAATCTAAAATTCTGTGTCAGTTGAAAACGTATAACTCTCTACAATCACCTCTGCCCATCAAAAAGCCAACTAGTTATTGAAAAACTGTAAAAATCCATCAAGTGATAATTAGAGACAATTCGGGCTAGGAGGGTGAATATGAGGGGGCCACAAAAGGGATGAGAACTGTCAGACTTTCATTATGATAAAAAGTACTCTATAAATAAATAGTAAGTGGTTAACACAAGAAGGACAAACAAAAAGGAGGAAAAATGGTAAGGATTGTATGTAGTTTATAAAAATATTATTGTGTTGATTTCACATTCATACGTCTAATGTGTTCGTGATAAAATGAGCCATTTTTGGCTTGTCTATTTTGCCTTCTAATCGAGTACATACAGGTGCACGTAAGACGGTCTTATGCATCATTCTTATTCCATCAGTTGTTCCCATTCAGATGATAATGTCGATTGACTGCAAACGACATATCGCTCAAAATACAGGGTTATGAGCGAACTAGTATTTGGATGCATTTATTCTAATGTACTTGTGAATTAGCCTAGCAACATGTCGGTCAATTGCAATCGATAATATCTTATTGTATTTTCGTTAATGCTGCTTGGCTTGAGTTTACTTGATGAAAAAATAAACACTGCAAATATTGATGTCTGCCTGACTGCTTGTCTGAATTTCGGTTATTTTGATAATACGGAATTACTACCACTGCTACGACTATAGTCCTTCTTGTTCTTACGTGATCCTGCGTACAACAAGTTGTAGTTAGTATCTATTGCGGAAATTCCTTTTTAATTCAGTTACAAAACAGTACAAGTATGTGTCAAAGTAAGGACTGTGTCAGCATTTACATGATGTAGTGTGTCTATCAGGTATGCTAAAATAGAATTTCCAATCTATTTGGGTTGACAATGAGTCACTCACAAGAGACACAAGATTATGAATAGCTCAGCAATACGTTTTATGGAGTTAGCCATGAATTTGTCTTCACCATTGTTGAACAAAGCGGGTAGGAGTTTTACACTTTGAGCCTTACGTGACTTTATTTTCATACTACTGCAAAATAATGAACTTAACTGAAGAAAGCGTCAGTGGCACAGCGGTAGAGTGCTCGCCGACCACGCCTCATGTAGTCCGGCGTTCGGTACCCGGCCGACGAACTCCTTTACCTCGCTAAGCCAGTAATAAGACTGGTAAAGAGGGAAGGTTGGACATAGGCTAGCAACCCCATCCTGTAAAAAATAATGACCACTGCTACAGAAACTTCAAGCCTCTAGCTTGAAGCACTATGTTCCACTGGGAGCGTAAAGGAATAAAAAAACCCAGAGGAAGGTAGGGATAAATTCTAGGATCTTGTTTATTTCACTTCACTCAGTACAGCAATACAAATATGTACCCCCGTCTCTGATTTTCTGTTCTTTGAAATTATCAGAATATAACTAATGTAAAGTTACATACACTTTATATAAAGTTTTGTTACTTAAACTGGTGCAATAAGCGTAAAAAAGTTCTAAAAAAACCCACTACCTACATTAGAATGACTGCTTATTGCAGTAACGTTAAAAGAGACACATTAGAAAATGTAATGCCTACTCTCCTATATACTTACCAAATCAGGTTTAGTTAGTAATTCACACGGCCAACTAAGATTCCAAAATGTTTGAGCCATATGAAATGCTAGCTTAAGAACATTTTGTGTTAATACGAATGATTCCGATAGTGTAGTTGGATTTTGTATTCCAGAGGCACCAGTATACGAAGATGTTATATTGCTGGTGGAGTTTGATATGGAATCGGAAGCAGAATTACTAGAAATTGGTGTTATGTTAGTACTGACCATGTTAACATTACTAGAACTGTTAACACCACATTCACTGGATGAACGTTGACTAGATCCCAGACCAGAACGACGAGTATAATTACCTGCAGGATTTCGAAATGGACTGGTATACAATTCATGAAGCGTTTGAACAGTACGCGATTCCCAACCAAGTAATATATGCCATTTAGGATTGAATACTGAACAATCATACTGAAATGCAAATAATCATTATGAAATTTTTATTATTCTTCATACAATAATTTATTTAGAATATTTAATAATAAGGTAACATCAGGTATGTGCAGTGCAAAAATAGAATTCTAATGCAGTTGCGATGACTGGAATTATGTATGCCTGTATCATGAAGATGAATGCTCATTTACATTTATGTATTTTATTTTCGACAAGCATTTGCTTCATTCTGATGACCTATTTTTGCTCGAAAATGCAATATATTTATATTTATTTATTTTATTTTGGTTATGGCTTGAAACCACACAGTATTTTTGGTACGAGTATGGAATTTTCAGCATGGATATCGGTAGCCCAAATTTTGCAGGCCGACCATAGATATCGGGTGTGCGTCGGCAGGGGATCGACCCTCGAACCATGTGCATGGTCGGCGAGCACCCTAACCACTGTGCCACCGGCGTGAAAACTTTATATAGGAGGAAGTCAATATTATTATTATTAAGGCGTATGTTTCGTTCATTATGGTCACCAAGAGATGAGCCAGAAAAAATCTCACACTTAATACGACGGCTGGGATACTTTTCAGACGTCCAAATCTAAGCAAGAGGTTGTCTTAGGCGACCACTCTCCTTGACCCTTTGACTTGCATTCTTATCCACAAGACACTGGAGTAGTGTTATGGACTATGTCCCTAGGGTTGCCAGTGACCGGAAAAGGGTCATATGCCATTTGATCTCTACGTATTTTGAAGTCTATGTAAACCATAGGTTTGGAATCGGGGTTTTCCAGCTCCCCCAGAGGTAAACCAGCATATCCACCAGTCCGGTTGTAAGTAACGGACGTTCGCACATTCGTCCTTTCACACTTTTGTGAGGGACACAATGAAATTCATAGAGTAACTAACTGAACAACGAAAGCATAATTAACTGAGATGTTGTTGGTTAACTTAGAAAAATAAAATAATTCCCTCACATACACAAACATATAAACGTACATACATGTATAAACAAAATAAACTCACTAAATTGGAAGAAAAGTTAAAGGTATTCTTTCCAAATAGATTTATATAACACTGCATTAGCTTATCCATATCTAAACTTAACCCAATAGCACAAGGACATTTATCTGCAGTCAAGGCAGTAACATTTAAATTACACGAAGTAGAACTAGAACGAGATATTTTTCTTGGCAGTCTATTTAGACATGAAAAGAGAAAAAATAATTAGAAAATTTGTTTACAAATAAGAGATATACAAAGTCGCCATTATAGTTTAGCGAGAAGACACGTGCATAATACCACCACCACCACCACCACCAGAGTTTTACCACTGTGCTTTCAAATAATTGATATCTCGGGGTTCAAATCACGCTCAGCCAGCTTACTTCAGTCTAGACGACTGTCTAGTATCATTATCGCTCACATACTATAATTGGGGATTGCAGTCTGGTATATATCAAAAATCTTTTCCAGATAATCAAGTCCTAACAACAACAGTCAAACTCAAAAGTATGTTAGATCTTGACAAACCCACTTGAGCTAATATAATATACCATAGCAGTTTAAGTGTAACGATGTAGATTAACACATCAACGTAGAATGATTGAAACATAATTTATTCTAAAACTTTAAATACAGTGAACTATAATTGCATGGATCTTACTTTACAAATCGATATTATTTAAAAAAAAACACTAATATTGTTATTGACTACTAATCTAGAATATTCTATGTATATAAACACATACATATATATAATTGTAGAGCTAGAAGAGGAATTTATCGAAAAGGATATTCTTAGCCCAATTATTTTGTGTTTTATAAATAAATAAAAGTATAACATCTTTTTGCTAATCGCTTTTTATTTAAATCTACAACATATATGAGTTCAATGTTAATTTGTAAAACACTTGAAACATGCTCTGAAATAAACAACCAAAAAAAATATCTAATTGAATTTATAATATATAAACAAACTATAAATCTCAAACAATAGATATACAGTCTCTCTTGCTCACCAAACTCATTCGATCACATGTCGGAATAAGAATCACACAATTAATGAATGCAATGTAGATAGGAACTAATCGACAGATGAAATCAGGTTCATACGATTAAATAAAACATACAACAAACCTATTTATCATGAAAAATATTAAAAAATTTCCATTTACCTAATAGTAGTGAATTCTTTCGGGACACAGTGTTTAGCAATCAACTGACTATACTCGCCACCTTGACCCAAAACAGTTAATATTGGCTGTGAAGCATTCGACTTGGAGAGACTTGAGTTACAATTTACATTCGAAGTCATTTTGTTTAATGAATCGTCTGGATTTCGAGGAGGTGGTGGGAAACCAGATGAAGAATTGAGCAACGGTGGCTTAGAGGAATCAGACATTGCAGTTAACTGGAATACTAAACCATTATACATATGATGTGGTAGAACCAATCCAGGTGTAAATCGGAGCTTAAAAGTAAAAATACAACAACAATGAATGGTAATAATACACACAGAAAATAACATTTTGATCATCTACTTTGAAAGTGAGGTGGTTTGTGCCAGGATATAAAAATGATGTCATTTAGGAAAAACTGTGTCATACCACATAAGCTCTGTCGTGTTAAAAACATCTGATTTTCTCTAGAAACCTAAAGAGACTGATTTTCAGTCAAATATTCAAGGATGTAGGGTTAGTCGATATTCAATATAAGTACACTGTGAAGCACTGTGAAGTCAGTCAGTGCTACTATACGGATCAGAGACTTGCACTGCGCGTCATAAAGAGCATCTCAATCAAACTACACACCGTCATTAACAGCCAGCTGTCTTCGCTCAATACTCAAGATCAGATGGCCGACCAGAAAAGATCAGCAACAGAGAGGGATATCTGGCAATGAGTGAACCAACCCAACAGGAACCGATTGTGAAACAAACAGGCAGGAAGAAATGGAGATGGATTGGCTGGCCATACTCTGAGGAAACAAACCATCAAGTGACATCACTAGACAAGCCATTGCTCGAGTGGAACCCGGTCGAAAGGGAAGCGGCGAGTTGGTCGTCAGTGCAAGGGTGGGTTGACATGGAGGAGGTCATGTGAAGAGGAGATGAAAGCGTGTGGGCAGACATGGAGCCAGGTGAAGACTCTAGCAGAGAACCGAAGGCAATCGAGACGCACGGCTGAATCCCTATGTTCCTCTAGGAATTAAAGGAAACAATTATAATAATAATAAACAAAGTGGATATTTTTACCATACACAATAAACCAAATCCTAAACATATTCAACACGTACGTCTTTCTGTAATGAGTATGGAATCATTATCTAGTACTGAATAACTAAGTGCCTCAAACCATTAAGTGATTATTTTGAAACTATGTTATATCAGATAGGCTTAACACATTTAGACTTGATAAAAAGTGAATTGGTTTGCTTAGAAGTATCTACCGTATTATAACAAATAAAACAATCACAACATACATGAAATCTTCCTGACCAATCAAATTTCATATAAATATCTGTTATTTCCTCCAATAATTTCACTGCACTGTCTATTAATCTACTAACGACATGACACTGTTGAGCTGAATGCTGTATAAATGCTTCACGTATATGTCCAGCCTGAGCAGATTCTAAACGAATAATTTTCATAAAACGTTTCTGTGCATGTCCACGAGGTTTACTTGTCAGATACTCTGGTAATATAAGTGAACGTGTTGGTTCATTAAGTCTTGATGAAGAGTTTGAAGTTGACAATGCTGTAGTAGTACATGGAAAATTAGATGAAGCACGAGACAGTGTTGGAGAATACGGAGTAGCATAGTTCACTGATGAAAAGAAGAATGAATAAGTAGATAGATTAACAGGTCTTGGATCGGCATTTGCTTCAGATAAATGACGCCAAACTGTTGCACGTGATCCGGATTGAATTCCAGTCAATTTGAATAGTGCTTTTATCAAGTTGGTATGATTCACATAGAGAAAGAATGTCACATCCTTTGAAGAAATAGAAAACATGATAATTAATGTGAAATTAATGTTCACATATACACAAAGAAGGAAACCTTTCCTTGATCAAAACTGTCAAATCCCTAGATAGTCTTTAGAACAAGTCAAAAACAAAATAAGTTGAGTCACTGCCCAGATATGAATATTTGCTTATTCATTTATTACCATAACTGAGAAATACTGTAAATGCCTTCAAATAAAAAATGGATAAAAAGGTACGACACACTTTACACAATGGCATACTTGGTTACAAAAAGTAAATCTTTAAAGCAACAAGAGAAATCTGAGCGTGTCTTCCTTCAACCTTCGACAAACTCTAAGAAAGATAAACTTATCTGAGTTCAACAGCTGCCATATTTCTTCACCTGAGGACAGCTTTCGACTGATAGGTGTTGTGATAGTTTCGTCTTATTTCTTATGTTTACATTGTTTTAATCTATAGGAATATGACCTCTAATGATTTTGTTTACTCTCGCGAGTATTTAAAATGTTCACAGACTGTTGGTCCGCAAGTTTCTACTCAACTTGAGAAAAAGCATAATCTTGGGTGCCAACGTATCCCAGTACTTGAGATAACTGTTCCTGAGATTTCTAGTATAAAGTGTCACTTCCTAGGAAACAAAATTAATTACCTGCAGTCTTTAATCGTTCACTTATGTCATGCACTTTTTTAATCGACTTTCAATCAAATATCGTGCATTTCTCGAAGGAGACAAAGGCGAAATATAATAAGGGATTGGTTTGCACTACAGGTCAGGCAGCATTGCGTCACGCGACCTACTGTTTTACTTATAGATGCCGGACGAAAAGAAAATATCCAATAAGTTCTGCTGAAAATTTCTGTACATTTCATAAACACTGTTTGGAATTTTGCATCTGAAGTGATTATAATCAGTGATGTGTGCTAGGGATGTCCATAGACTCCAAAGCCTCAGGATGGTCGGGGGTGGGTGCCTTGCGCTGCGGGTTGGCCACCCCTCCGCACACCTCTTGAAATGCTCCCATATGACCGGGCGTCTTACATAGCCTCTCCTGAGGAAGTCCTACTCACTGTCTTCACGTGGCGGAGGTGTTTCTCACCAAAGTGAGAGGGCAAAAGCGGATGCCCGGCGCTCTTCACCGGGTTGACTGTCCATTGGATGACAGTCTAGGGGAGATGGCTAAACCCTGATTCCAAACCTCCAACGACTGGCGTATGAAGCTCACCGGCAGACGTATGGACAAAGGGCTTGTTGGATGTCCTGGATGTCTGGCCCCATTCAAAAAGGCGTATGAACCGAACTCCGGTCACCGGCTGCCAATGGATAGTGGACTCTCCACTCCACTCCTACTGCCTTGTAGGTCACACTTGGTTGTGTAAAGGCTAGAGCTGCACTCTCAAACAAAAGGCCGAGCGATTCTGGGGACATCACTGGTACCAAATTCCCATGAAACTTCATGAACTCTCTTACCTTGTCGCAAAACCTTGCAACAGATCGCCGCGCCTGGGCAGCGATGATTCGAGATGTTCATGAAGCCGGCTCATCCTTCCGTAGGAGATAGCCGAAGTAAAGTAAGTAAGTAAGATGTCCATATGGGTTTCCAATTTTGTCTAACCTCATCATAGATCTACTTAATAGTTGTAACACTGATCGACTTTATTGGCTTAGGGATTGACTTATTACCGGGGTATAGTGTTGTTAACTCATAATATGCAGACGATGCAGTTCTTCTAGGTGATGACGCTGACAAAATATAGTCTTTTGAACATCTTAAGCAGAAATCTTAGTATGTTTGACATGCAATTCGCTGCTGACAAATGTAAGATAATGCTGCAGGACTGGTCCGTGCCAACTTCCAGTTTGAAGACAGGGTGCAGAGTGGTTGAGTGTATTCACCACTTCACTTATCTGAGAATTTTCGGTAACCCTAGTAGACTGATTGCCAATGAAATCTGAGGAAAAATGTAGGAAGTTCGTGTAGCATATGCTAGAAAGCATCAAATCTTGCCCAGACGTGATGTCTGGCTATCAATCAAAGAACGTATATGCTGCAAAGCAGTTCTCTCCATCCTTCTCTATGGCTGTGAGACTTGGTCGTTGAAAGTAGGAGACTTGAAGAGGCTGGCTATCTTTGTGTTTGCATTCTGGTCTCTTAAATTAACTGATATAATAACGTGATTAGTGTTAAGGCTAGATGTTGAGTGTTAAGTAAGGAGGACAAATCAATCGAAACGTTTGTAGAACTGCATAGACTTAAACGGTTAGGAAGCGCGTCACGTATACCATGACAGCCTTCCTCATCAAGCAATGTTAGCCGACATACGATTAGGACGGGAAAGCATTAGGGTTAGTCAAATGTAAAAATGGCATCAGTCCATGACGTCTTTGGTATGGCTCGAAATTATTCTTAATGGGCAGATGTATTCACTCCTTGTAATATCCTAGATACATTAGATGTTCGCGATTCTCCGTATAATTATTCTTTCTCCCGTACGTTTCTATTCATTATAGTTCCTTTGTATTTTTTTCCCTATCTTTGTGTGCTGTATGGGGCGTGGCGATTTGAACTATTACTCTTCTGAGTAAAGTTATACACACTGAACTCATAGTCAGTCGAATCAACAGAAACCTAGGTGCTATTTCCTTATGGCAGTCATATGCAAGGTCAAGATGTGTACAGGTTAGATGAAGTGCTTCCTGTCTCTACCGACTCCTCGTTATTTCTAATATCAACGGACAATTCACGTGAAACAGCATCTTATCACTTAGATTACTGATGACAGTCTACATCTGGTTGACACTCTTCGACTTACTATACTGAAGAAACGTGCAATTAAATATACTACCATCTGATAATAATTTAAAACACATAGCCCAAATCTATAGGAGGTCAGAGTTGTGGCTTGGAATAGCCTAGTCTCAAAAGCCTGGTGTAACTTGTCACTAAGTGATGTGCATGTTGCAATCTCAAAAGCAACATGTGTTTCGTCAAGATTGTAACGCGAAAAATTAGACTTTACTCGTAAGGATCACAAAGACTAGTTTTCTAACCAATCGATTTGTCAAGAAAGTTCTTCTATACTGTACATCATAAAAACTTGATAACAATGCGATGAATATTAGAGTGAACATTTAAAATAACACCAGAAGCAGGGAGTTAAAACATTACAGAATGTATAACCAACCGCATACCTTTGACTGAAATAGTTTACTGGTTATTTCGCGTAGAATGATGAATAACTCCACAGCCCAAAATGTACTTATAAAAGAATATTAAAAAGAAATTACAAGGCATATAACAATAGATGTACAAAAAATACGACAGATTAAACAAAACAAAAATAGAAATGTGTGGAGAGACGATACATTCACTAAACTATCCAATCAATGAGTCATAGTATCAAATTCTACTACCACTACGATAAACGGAAGAGAGAAAACTAGGACTACAGAAATTAGATTTCAAAATTGTGAAGTTATATTTAACTATAGATATGAACAGTATTCTGAGTTCAAAAGGTCATCCAGTGAATAGTAGAGTTTCACTGTGAGATATATCTGATAGAAAAAAATGGTACAAAATTACTCATATGCTAGTCTTATACAGTGGCCATTTAACATCTCTCTTAGTATTACCCTGTATGTGATTTTATGAATCAACTTCTACGTCGTAAATATAGTCCCGTGTCAACTCATCATCCATCTCCCTCGACGACATTATGAAGATTCGCATCCCAGTTACAACTAAACCCCTATTTTTTTTCACTGCTGTATTCTCACACTCAGAAGACTAAATTCTTTTCCACACTTATGACAGAGAATGATGTATTGGGAACAAGTAGAGAATGAATTTTCCCTAAGAAAGCACTGTGATAACTGATAAGACCAAGAATTTATCGCAGATCTGAAGGATTAGCCGGAGAAAGCATGTTCCTGACAGCATGCATATTTAACGGATAAAGTTATTATTGAAGATAAAAATCAGATACTTCATTAAAATCCGTGTCTTCTTCGAAATGGTAACTAAAATAAAATATTGAATAGCATAGAATTAAGTCAAGTTCGGGTAGACTACAACTGTGAGTTGCTTGACAAACATCATGTCTACGATCTGCTGGAAGGCAGCACGAGTTAGCTTGAAAGCAAAAAGTTCACAAGTAGACCGTCAAAGTCCCCAATGGGTGTTACTTATTAGTATCGAATTTGTATAAGTAGTGGATAGGCAAGGTATATTCATCAAACCTAACAGCGGCGAGTGCTTTGCTAAAAATAGGTCTCAAATAGGGATCGAACGAAATTCTAGACAGTTACTAACAGTCAACACTCCGTGAAGTCTTTATCAGTAAACCAACAATTCTTAAAATATAATGTCTGTATGCTACATTATAATTCCATTCAAGGTGTATATACAAAAGTGAAATAAAAATACTATGACAAACATGATATCATCATTACTTGTTTTCTAAAGAGATTATATCAAAGGCTGCACGATTAACTTCTACTGGACACCCAAATAACATATGAGGTTGATCAGAGTTTGAAAGAGAAGAACTGTGATAAGTTCTTCCAAATTCATAACGTTTCAGTGGATCTGATTCACTTCGATTTTCTAATAAAACTGAACCTGATCTAGCTAGATAACGTGCAAATGCTATATGCAAGGAATCTGGTAAACGGACAGGCAATCCATTTTCATCTAATAAGACTGGAGCAGCTGACAATCTATCCCAATTTTCGACAAGATGATTATCATCCACACCAAATGCATCATTGTCACTATCCGGTTTCGGTTGACTGAACCATGAAGTTTGATCAGGTCTATGAACAACTGGAACAAGTGTAGGAGCTTCCATCAGAATACCACTATGCGCAATAAATGAAGTTTCGACCAGGTGTGTTATGAGTCTATATAAAACATAAGAAACATTGAAAAATTTAGAATGAATAACTTGTATTGAATGAATATATATTTAAAATTATGATAAACATTGGATTAAAGTGATAGAAAAATGTAGACGTATTAAAGTAATGGAATTATTAGAAATATCTTCAACAATTGAGTCTTTATAGCTCAAGGGAATGATAAATTATAGAAGTAGAGTGAAAAAGAAAAAAATAATTTCTATCTGAGGGAGTTAATTTAACTGTGTTATCTGTTGCCAGGCGGTTATAATGAACGCATCAGTTGTGTGCGTCGGTGGCACAGTGGTTAGGACTCTCGCCGACCATACACATGGTCCGGGGTTCGATCCCCTGCCAGCGCACACCCGATATCTATGGTCGGCCTGCAAAATTTGGGCTACCGATATCCATGCTGAAAATTCCATACTTGTACTGAAAATACGGTGTGGAATCAAGCTGTAATCAAAATAAAATAAAAATAAAAAAAGATACTGCTCACAAAGAAAGTTTATTTTATTCAGAAAATACACATATTTAGTTCTGATAAGTATATAACACAAAGTGAGAAATGCATACCAGTTAATAAAAAACCACAAGGGATATGATATTGGAAAAAGTAAATAATATTTTGGCAAGTGATAATAGCAGGTATTTTGATGTAGCTGTGTTCCCTGAGCTGGTTGGTTTACTTGTTAAGCTTTCATTGTCCTACAAAATTAGCATCTTCAGAACATGCTTCAATTTTTGTAATCAGCTTTTAAATTTCTCCCCGTGTGTATTAGTCATCTCTCCCGGTGACTCTGAACATGATTGATTGCTCTTGTCTGTCTTCATACTTTGTGGCCTATTTGTATTGCTATCGATTGTTTCCTTAACGTGAAGTTTGACTTTTTGTGTATAAGATTTTCCTCCTATGGATTAATAAATTTTATCTTTGTCAATGTGCATGTTAACTGCCGATACACTGGAACATCAGGCTTCCGAAAATTTTCTGGTTTTCTTAGTGTTTCCTCTTCCTAATATTTAAACGTTTTCCTAGTCGAATTGATGTTTATGTTTGTCTGTATGCAGTGATATAAGGGAGTGGATATCACGTCTTTTGACGGCTAGTTTGTGTTTACGGATATAAAGACGAAGAGGACATCCACTTTAGCAAATGTAATGATTTTCTCAGTGTTTTCCAACTGTGAAAACCAGAAAATTTTCGGAAGACTGATGTTCCAGTGTATCGGTAGTTAACATGCATTTGAACAAAGCAAGAACAACAATTGTACCAGGATAATGTGAGCTCATCTTTTATTATTTCGAGGATTCTTCTCAACTGGTTACAACCTGAACGATAAAAAAATATGAATTACATTAAAGATTTGAACATACTTTTCCACGATCACAAGGAGTAATTGGTAGAAAGTAAAAGTAACATTAGTCGGGAATGATTTAACTAATTAAGAGTTATAAACACTGACTATTTATAGAATAATTAGACAATTAGGCTTGGAAACAATAACAGAGTTGCGTATATATGTGTGAGTATAGAAACAAGGTTTAGCTAGAAAGAGCATAATAAAAAAGTAGATTACGCAACTAAAGAAAATGTTTTATCTAATAGCCAATAGAAAAAAAGCAGAGAAAGAACAAGGTAGAGTGAGTCATGTTTAGATGAGAGAGTAGAGTTTTCTAAACAAGAAAAAAGTGACTCATAAAATTTGTATATTTTTTGTTATCACCAGGGCAGTGCAAGATTCACCACTGTCTCTTTCTGCGTACATAGATTTGGTTTAAGTCGTTTGATAGCAACAGCTTCAGCAAAGCGTGGCAAGCTAGGTTTCTTTTGCTTGTTGATTATTTTGAACGACTTCAGGTTGTCCACAATATGACCAGTTTCTAATAGATGACTCGCAATCGCACTGTTTAATGCTTGTGGACCTTTCAGTCTCAGGTTCTTTGGTATGTGTTCAGAAATGCGGACAATAACCCTTCTCTCTGTTCTTCCGATATGTGCTTTGGCATGTACATGTAAATTGGTAGACACAGTTGGAGGTAACATGAGGTGGGTATTTGTTAACATGCACATTGACAAAGATAAAATTTATTAATCCATAGGAGGAAAATCTTATACACAAAAAGTCAAACTTCACGTTAAGGAAATAATCGATAGCAATACAAATAGGCCACAAAGTATGAAGACAGACAAGAGCAATCAATCATGTTCAGAGTCACCGGGAGAGATGACTAATACACACGGGGAGAAATTTAAAAGCTGATTACAAAAATTGAAGCATGTTCTGAAGATGCTAATTTTGTAGGACAATGAAAGCTTAACAAGTAAACCAACCAGCTCAGAGAACACAACTACATCAAGAGCATCCACCTGAGCTACAAATCTCCAATGGATCTATTTAGTATGTACGATATGAAAGGCAGTTCTGGTTTTTCACTAATTGTATTTGTGTACTACACGCTGACCAGTTAACGCGACTACATAAAAAGAAAAGCGTAAATTATGGCAGCCTGACTCAACTTTGAGCTAACAAAATACCCTCTTTCATCAAACATACGTTGTTTTGAATTACTTCTTCAGTTTTTTTTCTTTTAATTCATCAAAGGGATCAACAAATCCTATCAGTTTCACTCGCATAATTTTGAATAAAAAACATTTCAATCTATCACTTTTCATGCCCACAATAATAGATAACAATGAATAATGAAGTGTCCGGGCATAGTTCAAATGATTATCACTGAGGTGGTTAACATAAAGTGCAGATCTCACGGTTATGATTTTTTCTGAAGAGAAAATAGACCGAGAAGCTCAATGAAGATATCTCTTTTCGGCGATTTCATCCTGTAAAGCTGTACAATTGTATTGTTATATAAAATGACATACACACAGTTTACATATTTACAGTTATTATTTGATTCAGCATAGAAACCAAAATGAAACTAAAAGTGATAATATTTTTCAGTTTGATACTTAAGCCTGAAGGTGTGAGTGTTGATCACAAGGGGGCATAGAAGGGTAATTTTGTTACAATAGGAAAATGTCAAAAATTCCATATTGTGAAAAATCATTATTTAGAATAATGTGATTATTATTATTATTTACTTTGAAGAAAGAGCAATAGATCTATTTAAGCGTTGGTTTGCAGGGATTTGATTGGTTTCACGATTTCATCATGAATTGACATCAGTTAGAGGACCACTAGAAAACCTGGGAGTATTGGATAACTGTTTTGTCCTAGTTTGGGACCAGTGACCAGTGGAGTACAGCAGTTCACGTGTGAGGTAAAAACTTGCCGTTGATATTCGCCAGTGGTCGTTCCATATCGCGAATTGAAAAAAGTCGGAATTCATGGACAACCGGATCGAGTCAGAGTGGTTTAATGGTCTACGAATTCACCTTGTAACCAGAAGCTCATGAGTTCGGACCTTCGTGGGCACGTACTTCTGAAGAGTCCCAGACTAGGAAGGAACAGCTGTCAAGTACTCAAACGTTATCCAACGGTCCTGTAACCAATATCAGTTCAGGATGAAATCCTTAAGCTATAAGAGACTCGTCATCAAAACTATGAGTGATAATCACTTAGAGGTCTTAAAAACTAGAGATGTATTCCGCATCGCCGAAAATAGAGGAAAAGGGAGATCATTGTATGAAATATTTCTCTGAATTTAGGATATTTCTCACTTTGTTTGATAATATCTATTAATAGTAATAAGCTGAAAGAATAACTTTCATGCTGCTGCAGAAAAAAATAATCATTACAACTTCGCTTACATAATCATTTTAGTATACTTAATTAAGCTTAAATATGAATTTCTTGATCTCATTTATTTTAACGATTCTAGGAGATTTATGTGATAAAAACGAAGCACATAGTTCAGAGAAGAGTCTCTTTTCGGTGAATTCATTCATTTAGCTTTACAATCGCAATTATGTACAATCATTTTTTTTTGCATGTGTGTGTACATTAGGTCTATTAGACAAGAATGAAAATCAGTTAGGCTTGTTGTTTGCATCAGGAAAATATTTCAAAAGATGTGATGAATAAATAAAGATTGGTGGGAGGATAGTGGTGGTCAGTTGTTGAGATATACTTGTTAATGTTAGTCAGTGAATAAGAGAAGTTGAGTAAGTGCAGTGTAGTAACCCATCCCTACTGCCCTCTCCCGACCGAAAGCTGCTACCTTGACGTGGTGGTCGGGCTTGAACACCGCAATGACCCAACAACCTATACTGGCTGAGACTTATGTCGCTTGAGGTCCTACCATGCCAGAAAGGTTGTTTGGATAGCGGTTAGACAAAAGGCAGTTACCCAACCCAATGCTATGACTCAAAGTAAATCACAAAATATCATGCCGGATCAGTCGGGGCCCGGATTAACAACGACCGCGCTTCCTGCTGCCGTGTCACAGGGCAGAAGTGATAAATACGCTACTGAGACACACCAAGTGAAAAAGAACAAACAAAAACAGGCCGCGTGTGACCGGCCTCAAGCAGTTGTCCCCTGGGCTCTGCGGTCACGCAACCAACTTCCACGGTGTGGGCAGCCGGGAAGTAACAATCGCCCTAACATTCCGAAATGCACGCGAAACCTCTCTAATCCTCACTCATCTTTGTCTTCATCTTCATCTCTATTATCTTGCCTTCCTTCTACTAATGCAACTCCTCTACTTGATGGCTCTTCACTTCCTCTTCACTCTGTGTGCACTGAAAACGACGGAAGCCGAAAAACCACCACCGATAGTCCCCTAAAGCCACGCCACCAATTTCATATAGGAGCATTTAATGTTAGGACACTTTGCCAAATAGGACAACAAGCATCACTAGCCAAGACTCTGGCATCCCGAGCCATTGATGTATGTTGTGTTTCAGAAACACGCATACAAGACCCAAGTGTGGTTATTCACCTAACCCCACCTGGCCAACAGGATGAATCTGCAAAATTCACCTTGAGGGTGTCAGGAGATACCACAGCTAGCTTACGAGGATTAGCTGGTGTTGGGATAGCTTTGAGTACTAGGGCAGAAAAGACATTACTTGACTGGATCCCGGTAGATAGCCGAATGTGTGCTGTCCGTCTGAACGGATCAGTAAAAAGGAGAAAGGACTGCACTACTCGCCGATGCCTCTTCGTAATCTCCGCCTACGCCCCCACTGACTTCAGTTCGGATGAAACGAAGGATGAGTTCTACCAAAATCTGTCTAGTTTGCTGCGAAAGGCTAAACCCTCAGATATAGTCGTTTTAGCTGGTGACTTTAATGCTCAAGTAGGGAAATTGTGTCAATCTGAGAAGGATGTCGGTGGCACATATGGAGTTCCGTGCCAGCGAACCGACAACGGTGACCGTCTCCTACAGTTCTGTTCTCATAATCATTTGTTTCTTGTAAGCACTAACTTCAAACACAAGGAGAGACACTGTTTGACCTGGCGACCCCCATCATCAAACCAACGCTGGACACAAATAGACCACATAGCAATAAGCTATCGTTGGCGTGGGTCGGTAGGAGATTGTCGCTCCTTCTGGAACACGTGTGTAGATACCGATCACGCACTGGTCCGCGCTCGTGTGTGCTTACGACTGAACGGACGTAGGAAACAGCTAGCGGTAAACCCATCACGTCCCCAGCTCGATCAGGAAACTAAGTCCCTATTTGAGGAAGAACTAGCTAAACACATATCTGAGTTCGACAGCTACGCTCACCCTGAAGAAGCCTGGAAGAATATTCAGTCAGCCATAGATACAGCTGTAAAAGCTGTGAATAAGGTAAATCCAAAGGTGAGTAAAAACCATTGGATTTCGACTGCCTCATCCGAACTGATAGATGCTAGAAGACTTATTCCGGCGAGCTCCGAATTCAATGAGGAGCGAAAGCTGCACAAAAGGAAACTTACGAAAAGTCTCCGCAAGGACCGTGAACAGTGGTGGCTGACAAAGGCGAAAGAGATGGAAAAAGCATCGGCGATAGGCAACACTAGGCAACTCTTTAGACTCATCAGGGAAACGGGTGGGAGAAGGCAAATCATAAGTGAGACTATTTCTGAGAAAAATGGCTCCTTAATTAGCTCTCAGGATAGACGCCTTGAACGCTGGAAAGAACACTTTGAGGAACAATTTAACTTGCCTACAGCCACACTGAACCTCCCCGCCATCCAGCACACACCCGAATGGGATATAGACACTGGCCCGCCGTCTGTAAGTGAGGTCACAAAAGCTATCTGTAATTTGAAACGAGGCAAAGCGGCAGGACCCGACGGAATTATTCCGGAGGTGTTTAAATATGGGGGTGACATACTAGTATATAGTTTAACTAAGGTACTAGGTAACGTCTGGGAATCAGAGACGGTGCCATCAGACTGGGGTAAGTCACTTATTATACCAGTATTCAAGAAGGGAGATAAGTCCTCATGTGATAATCATAGAGGGATCAGCCTGACGAACAGTCTCTAAAATCCTAGGCTCAGTAATCATGCACAGACTAAGCCGAACTCGGGAGGAACAAACGAGGGAAAATCAAGCAGGCTTTAGGCCTGGCAGAGGGTGCATAGATCATATCTTCACTCTCCGACAGATCCTAGAACATAGACACACTTTTAGGCGTCCAACAATTGCCATATTTCTTGACTTGAACGCGGCATTCGACTCCGTGGATCCAAAGGTACTATGGCAATGTTTGACTGTGAAGGGAATGCCAAGAAAGTACATTGCACTAATCAAGGCACTCTACTCAAACTCACGTAGCCATGTAAGGGCTTATGGGGAATTGTCATCTGAATTGATAACAACCAGTGGTGTCCGTCAAGGATGTCCACTTTCCCCTTTTCTGTTTAACTTCATCATAGATATGCTAATGGAAGTATCCTTAACTGAACTTAACGACTTAGGAATCGACTTGTTACCAGGGAATAGTCTTATAGACTTAGAATATGCAGATGACATAGTCCTGTTAGGGGAGGATGCTGACAAAATGCAGAGTCTTCTGAACACCTTGAGCAGCAATCTTCGTATGTTTGGCATGCGATTCGTCCCTGTAAAATGTAAGATGCTGCTACAGGACTGGACTACGTCTACCCCTAGCTTAGTGATAGGGAGTGAAGTGATAGAACATGTTGACCACTTCACCTATTTGGGAAGTTGTATCAGCACCAACGGATTGATTGGTGACGAAATCTCAGCACGGATCCAAAAAGCTCGGGCTGCTTTCGCTAACTTACACCATCTCTGGCGTAGGCGTGACATCCGACTATCACCAAGGGACGTGTGTACTGCTCAGCACTTCGCTACGTCCTTCTCTATGGCTCTGAAACATGGCCAATACGAGTTGAAGACACGAAAAGGTTGACTGTTTTTGATCATAGATGTCTACGATCTCTTTCTCACGTTAGGTGGCATAATAAGGTAAGTAATGTTGACGTTAGGCGTAGTGTTGGGCAAAGAGGGAAAATCAATCGAAGAGGCTATAAAGTTACATAGATTGAGATGGCTAGGTCACGTGCTGCGCATGCCTAACCATCGCCTCCCCCGAGGGGCATTACCACCTGATATAGGTGCAGGTTGGAAGAGAGTAAGTGGTGGCCAAACAAAAACATGGCCTCATCAATCCATGAAATCCTTGACAGTTAAACTGAGTCAGGTAGGGAGATGCAGACTTCCGGGTTGGGGCCCTCGGGACTCTAAGAATCAATGGCTGGAGACAATAGGTGACATGGCTCAAAATCGTTGTCAATGGCGCAGATGTATTCAGTCTCTGTAATCTTTCATATTCCTTTCTACCATTACTCATTCTGTTTCACTCGTATACTTGTCAAAACTCTATTGATTCTCTTCACTCATTTTCTTGTCTACCTTTGTGTGCTATTTGGAACGTGGCAATTCGAACTGGTGCACTTCGGTGCCAAGTTCTATATTGAATCCAGACAGACAGACTGCCCTCTTACTAATCTTTGCCCACCCAGCCCCCAACAACCTAGTTACAATTTTATTTACTCATCTTATTTTTTGAAATATTTTGATGACATAAACAACAAGCCTAGCTAATTTTCATTCTTTTTTGACAAAACTAATGTAAACACATACAAAAAAAATTATTATATATAATTGCGATTGTTCAGCTAAGTGAATGAATTCACCGAAAAGAGACTCTTTTCTGAACTACGTGCTTTGTTTGCATTAATGCCTGGGTGGGAATTATTCAAGAACTAAGTGATAAACATTCAGAAAAAAATTTTTTTCACTTGCATCGAATTGACCAACACTATCGCAAGATAGAATATAATACAACTATTTTAAATTTAATCATATACGTGTTCACTTTTTAAAATGGAAAACGAGTAAGTTGGAAATAAATCCATGTAAGAATATCTGGCGACCAGCCAATCAAGAATATAAAGCCCAACAAAAATGCTGAAAGTAAAGGAGATTGACTGGATATACAGTCCGAAGAGCCTGTTGAGTGACATCCCACACCAGGCCATAGAGTGGAATCCGAATGGGAAACCACGAGTTAGGCATTCGAGGGTGATACGGAGGAGGAGGAGGAGAAGATGGAAGCTTATGTGTAATCGTAGAGTTACCTGATAAGAAAGATTGCATAGAACAGGATGAAATAGAGATATACTAGTGAGAAGTCCTACATTCCACTCGAAACCCAAGGGAATAATGACAGTAGTAATAATAATATCTGCAGTTTATGAATGAACAAAGTAAAACAGATCAACACATTGCATACCTGCGTATTTTTAAGTAATTATAAAGTAAACGATTAGGATGATCTTGTATGAAACAATTTTTCCATAGTAACTGGGATATGAAACTTTCATCAATCTGTCGGAAATTTCTGTGCAGTGAAGCTATTCCCGTATTACAATCATATAGTAAATCCTATAAATAGTAAATAAGTAAACATAATTGATTAGAGTGATTCAGTATGAAAAATAAATACATTAAAATAGAGCAATAAAACAACTGTTGTAACAGAGCAATCTGTTCAGGATAACGCAAATTAGTGAGGTTGTCTATGGAAATACCTGAGACAGTATGAAAAGTTATTATTGATACAATAAGTCAAGAAGTCCACCTAACCGTTTAATAGTGTATGGAGGCAGTTTTCTTTAAAAAAATTTAAAAACAATCGGTCCATTTTATAAATTTGGATGGCGTTATTAGACAACAGAGATTATCTGAAAATGATGTGATGTATTTGCTCAATACATTTCGAACAATCTGATCCCTCACACATTTACTTGTCAAGTCAATTTATATGAAAAATAAAGGCCAATTAAAGTACACAAAGTGACAAAAGGATTACCAAGGCAGGTTGAGAGCGATAACAAATTGTTTTCGTACACACAGTGGTAGGGGGGGGCTTGAGTTTACGAATGGCCAACACCTCAGCGCACTTCAACAAGCGCCCTTTACCGTTCTTAAAAGCTGTTTTGGCATCAGTCTTGTGGTTCATGTCGATTAGATGTTTATCTATAGACGAAGCTGGTAGTCTGCCATCTGCGTCTGTCAATTTTCCAAAGTTCATCTGTTCCTCTAACCTCTTGGGGATATGCTCTTCCACTTTCACAGAGACTAAATTCGGTCATTCATAGAATCTCGGCTTATAATTACTGAAAAACTAAATAAATAGAGGTCAACCTAAAGCTCAATAGACATGTGTGAAATAGATGATTAGAAAATAAATTACATTTGGAAATGTGAATTGAAATGTTGTCAAAATGGTAAACTAGATAAAATGTTAGAACATGATCACATAAAGTGAAATAAAATAAAACAAAAGTGGAACATGGAATTAAAGAAGGATAACAAAGCTTTTATATGAATTACATAGTAAAATCAAGACCATGGTAACGAAAGAGATCGTGCAAATTGTTTTTGTACACTAAGTTCAGGCTTGATGTTGTGTATTGCCAAAGCCTCTGCTATACAAAATAAATTCACATGTGCCCCTTTCGGCAAACTTTGTAGGCTATATTATTTATTTCACTTTATTTGATCATATTCTAACATTTTCTCTAGTCTACTATTTTGACAACATTTCATTCATCCTATGTTTCCACTATATTACATTCACATATTCACATCTCCGAATGTACTTTATTTTCTGATCAGATATTGAAAAAGCCAAAAGTATGCTCCACTGCAAACCTCAAAAGTGCACACTATATACCACTTTACGTGTGTGTAGACACACATACCACAGGGAGGAGTAATTGCGGTTTGCATGTGAGGGTGGAAGGGCATATCCCAACGTGGTTACAGAACACAGATAAACTTTAACTTTGGAAAATCGATAGACGCTTCGTATAAAGCTAAACATCAAATTGATATGCAACTTCATACATTTATTCACCTTTATGAATTTGCATAAAGCAAGAACAACAGTTTTTACTGAATATTATGATACCATCATTTATTTCGTTGACTTCTCATCATTTGTTTACAGCCTAAATTAATTATCAAGTTTATGTACAGAAAAGTTTTAACATACTTGCAAATTTTCATGGTGTCAGTTGACAGGAAGTTCGGGACTTGGTGAACAGTGCTCAGAGATTCATTGACAAATATGGAAGATGTTAAGGCTCTAATGCAAAACAAATCACTAGGAAAAAAGCCTGTCTTCATTCAACTCAGTTTTAAGGGTGAAAATATTGCAGCAATAGTCAACAGAAGATTCAGTACGTATATAGCCAGAGCCTATACTGCAGCCAAGTTGGTTCCCATCTATCGGGCGGTATGCTCTTTAGTGCAATTAAAGTCGACAGATACCCTTCTGGTGTTAACTCCAACTGTGTATAAAAATATATGGGTATCTGCAGGAGCAGTTACATTGGGAGAACAGAAAGAAGGGCACACATCCGATTCTCTGAACGTGTACCAAAAGGCCTATGTTTAAAGGGAACAAACGCATACAATAGTGTCACTGCCAGACATCTCCTTGACACGGGTCATAATGTGGAAATCGCGAAATCCTTTAAAATTATCAATTGACAAGAGAGCTTAAGTTTTCCGAAGCAATCTCCATCAATAGCCTGAAACCAGATTTAAGCGTTCAGAAAGAAGTAGTTATCAATCCGTCCTTGTCCTGGTGACTGGATGTCCTTATTTTCTCTTCCATTTGATTACTTAATCTTTGGCTTTAACCTCACCACTCCCTTTGATATAGTGTAATTTTGCTTGTCTCTTGTTTCTGTGATTTGAAGTGAACTCAGCACACTGTTCCCCCCCCGCCCAATTTATTAGTTACTCATTATCTTATGCATCTCTCGTCTCTATTATGTGACTCCTCTACCACTGTATGCATACATTTACTCTGTTTAAACTGGAACTGACTGTGTAAAAACTATATAAGCGTAATTTTCTGAGCACTGTTCACCAAGTCCCGAACTTCCTGTCAACTGACACCATGAAAATTTGCAAGTATGTTAAAACTTTTCTGTACATAAACTTGATAATTAATTTAGGCTGTAAACAAATGATGAGAAGTCAACGAAATAAATGATGGTATCATAATATTCAGTAAAAACTGTTGTTCTTGCTTTATTCAAATAATCGATATGAAACATAAGACTAGTGTCAAAACAGCTTTTAAGGCTGTTTTTTAAAACAGTAAATGGCGCTTGTTGAAATACGCTGAGGCATGTGTTTACGAAAACAATTTGTTATCGCTCTCAACCTGCCTTGGTAATCCTTTTGTCACTTTGTGTACTTTAATTGGCCTTTATTTTTCATATAAATTGACTTGACAAGTAAATGTGTGAGGGATCAGATTGTTCGAAATGTATTGAGCAAATACATCACATCATTTTCAGATAATCTCCGCTGTCTAATAACGCTATACAAAAAAGTCATTCATTCTTGTATTCGACTACTTACCTGTAGAACGTGTAATGCGATTATTCTCATATAAGCCACACACTAACGAAAATTAAGCAAATCTCTATGCTCCCTTTTTCATCTAACGATAGCACTTAAATTCTACCAGCATAACTGAACAACCATCTTAAAATCTGTGACACAACAATTCAGAACCCAGAATTTATACCCAAAATCAAGCTTTTCATCAAAAGCCACTTTCACAAGGGGATCCTGACACTCAGAGCCATTCAATGCCATTCCACAGATAAGTAAAGAGACTAATAAGTATTGCAATTTAAAAGCTATGCAAAAGTATGACTGAAACGGTTTATTTTCAACTAATAAATTTTGAGTACACATGTTGCGTCAAATTATTCAATTTCATCATACAGGTACTACAATTATTGCTTACACATTTGGTTTACCTCATAGCTCACTAGGCAGAAAAAGGACATACCAATTAACTAGGCCGGATCAATTATTTTCAGTCGAGTATTACATGTTCGCCGCAAAAACGAAGTAATTTCACAAACATTATGAAACCAACAGATGGTTACTCGAATTCTATGAATTGAAAGAATCTCAGTGGAGATAAAACATTCAAAATCCATGGGACAGGAGAACAGAATACTTTTGAATAGTCAAACTACACATTAACTATTGAGTCAGAGGTAGAATACTCGCCAACCATCAGCGACTGACGCATTCCTTAACCTCGCTTAAGCGGTAGTAAGCCCTGTATGGATATTAAGTTGGGCGTGAAGCTACCAACGCCACCCCGTGAAAAACAAACACCACTGTTACTTGAATTTCAAAGATAAGGCTTCAAGCCCTGTCTTCCACTTGGAACGCAAAATAATAAAAATTACATTTAGTAGTCGGCCGTAATGAGTAATCCATATCCCCGTTGGGTTTATGGGTGCGTGCTGACGAAGAGTTCGGAGATAGGAGGAAACAAATGTCCACTAAGTGCTGGTTAACAATGGTTCTCTAACTAAGCCCAGTTCGTGAACCTATCTAAAATCAGTCAAAACCCTGCAAAGCAACACTTGAAAATCAAGATTCTACACTCTGCTTTTAAATTAAAAGCAAAGTACACTAGAAAAAAGATTTTAAACACATCAAAAAGTATACGCCTATTTACCGATGCACCAGAACAGGCTTGAGAGAAAAGAGTGTGTGTAACAAAACGATATAAATTGCTATCAGGAGTTTTACAGATTTCAATAAGTTGTTTTCTAAATGCTGCTTCAGTTGACTTGAAAGGTGGTATACGCGGAGAAGTCAATAAATCCTGGATGTAAACAAAGAAAAAGAAGAGTAAACCAATAGTTAGATGAAGGCTTGAAAGTCAACAAATGTTATCCAATTAAAATCAATATTAAAATATCATGAATGAAATTATGATAGTATGCCTCTATTTTAACTATAACGGTTCAGTTAGAGGAAATTATCGAGAAGTTTCAAGGTTTAACCTTACTCGAAACAGTTGAAGTTCAGTCAAACTACGACTCTCACCAATATACTTAATTGAGGTAGAATAGTAAAAGTTTTTTTCCAGCTATTTTATCCAGTCTTGGTATTTAGAAAAGCCAGAATATTTATGTTTTTATTCACCTATTATACTTTCTCCACAAAATTCTACTTACTTTGCTTGAAGTGAAATGCACAATGCTTCATTTACCATTTCAAAAATATTCATATTAAAAGAAATGCATGAATTTATTCAATCAATATATAAAAACCTAACGCAAAGATAAATAACTAACATACAGAAGCACTTGGTCTTTTAGAAGGATCATGTTGAAGCATAGCGCGAATTAACCAAGTCTGATTGACAAGTTCTTCTTGGGACCAGTCTTTTGGGAAAATAACCTTTTCTTTTCTTAAATCTGTAAGGACAGAAACCCGCTCCATTGCAGTTGGCATAGCACGATAAAACATTTCAAACAGGATTACGCCTAGACTGTAAATATCAACACGCTAGTTTACAAAACGAAAATATACAAAAGACAAAATGACATGTAGGATTAAGATAAGTTTTTTTTTCTAAATAAGTTAAATAAGCATAAGTGTGAGATTAAAAAAGTAGTATTTCTACTTTAACAAAAAAAAATGTTTGGATTATGTGAAAATCAAGTACAATTTTTTAAAGTCTTTTGCTAAAGTAATGAAATAGAAATTGTCTACTTTCATATTATTCATCATAGAAACGCCGCGAAGGTTAGTGCGACACCCTCAGTGAAGGAGAAAATGGCACTTCCCTTGAATAAATGAAATATGGAAGAACATCTTGGTTACTTTTCCAGATGCAGATTACCCTTTATAACAACAGATGTTCAGCTGGAAGCATGATCTAAGGTGGCATTATTTTGGATAGAAATCTTAATAACACTCTAGTCATTCATTACTGGAGGTTGATTACTATATATTAAAAGACGACAACATACGGCGTAGTTTAAACATACACGGATGACATACTCTGCTCTTTATCCATGACTTCTACCGTTGGCGTAAGCGATGGATAACGCTTAAAACACACTACATTTACGTAGTATTCATTGTTTCATTGACACATTACTACTTTCATTTTTACCGGAACGTTCTAGCCAGATATTTACGACTAATAGTGACTACATTCGTCATTATTAGTATTTCTTTGTTATAATGAACACAATAATCTTTAACAGTTGCTCTGTCCAATAACAGACAGTTTGGATGATAAATAAACTGTTTCTTCGTAACTCAGTAAATCATCAATCACTTCAGCAGTTATTTACAACATGTACACTAAATACTCAAACACCAACTTCTCAAGCCCTTTAAGTATTTATTACTGGAAAGAAAATGTACTGAGATTCTCGATGACTTGAGGGGAGTTGTTTTAGTAGGTCTGACGAGTGCTATTCAACAACTACTTGCATTTCCAAAGAGCCACGCCAACTGTATGGGGGTCAGTGATACTGAGTAGGTAGACTAGACTTTGTTAGAGCAAGGTTCGAACCTGAGATATATTGGTCGTAAGTCGAGCACCTAGACCAGTGTCTCCTTAATACATTGATGTCAGTGGCTTTTCATTTGTTTGCAGTTGTTAACATGAGACATTGACGCTTCATTAGCCGTGGTGTTATTTTTTCTACAGTGTAGGATTGCCAACCTCACGCCCAACTTTCTCTATGTTCCAGACTTGCTACCGACTAGGTAGTGCGCATTGGGAGGGAATCACACCTCAGATCACGTGTGCGTGGTTAGCGAGCATCCTAACGTTGAACTGCTGACATACTCCAAATAATAACATGTGCAAATAATTAAAGTGTAAGGCGTAATTTTATTTAAAGTTAACTGTAAGCATAAATGAATAGCTTATGCAGTGCAGTAGAGTATAACTATTGTGTTAGTTTACTTGTTCAATATACTAATGCATATTTCAAATACAAATCACTCTTTATAATCACACTGGCCAAACTATAACTTTGGTAGAGACTGAGCTGTCGATCCAACAGAAGCTAAACCTCATTGCTTACAACAACTGTTTCCAAATTAGAATTTCAGCAATCACAGACCAACATTAATTGCATGTATACCTTGAGCAAATAAACGGTCATATTTTCTGATGACTTAGTGGATAATGAAATGATAATGTGGCACAGTGTATGGCTAATATATCAAACATGTGTAGTAAAACTAACAACAATAACATACCTCGTCATATACTCTATGTTTTTGACACCCCAAAAGTAAGACTTCAGGACTTATATACAAAAAAGTACCAACATTATGTGTCATGGATTGATCGTAGAAATTCACAGAGGTATGATGATGATGATGAGCATTCATAGGATTTAATAATTTATTATTTGTAGTTGTAGTCTCTTGAGTGGAATTTGTACACTCTGGATGCTTGTTAGATTTCTAAGTTGAAGAAAAGGAAAAATAGTCTATTGTTCATAAATTTTTATATTGAACAATCTTAATAAATGTTTCATACTGAAATGATTACTTTAAAATGTATAGAGGGATAATAATAGTTCAACACTTGAATGAATTCTAGTATAACACATACGATTCTCAATATTAAACCTTCAAACAAGTGAGTGTTCATCAATCGACTTATAGGTGAGCTGTATGTATTGTAAGAGGATTGATGACTTAAAACCTAATTAGGTAGTGCAGAGTTTGTATCCATGATCGGATAGTTAAAAAAGGATTATCTACATCAATGAATCACAATTTTCAAGCATTGGTTTGTAGGGATTTGGTTGATTGGTTACAGGATTTCATCATCAGCTGACATTGGTTACAGAACCAATGGAAAACCTTCGGGAGTACTGGACAGCTGTTTCGTCCTAGTTTGGGACTCTTCATCAGTACGTACCCACCGGGGTTCCCACTGGAACCCCAGGTAACTACCTACCCGAATAGGGCCAGTCACCAGTGAGCTATATATATATATATATATATATATATATATATATATATAAAGTTCTAAATATCCATTCATAATAAATACATTGAAATTCATATGCAAGGCTATAACAGTTATTTGTGTGCTTGATATTTTAAAAATTGCTTAAATCGTTTCTTAGTAGTAACCGATATGTGTGCGAAAACTTTGATTAGTAAAACAAATTAAAATATCCAAACACAATATATTCTGCACTGAACTCATTGAATAATCTCAAACTACACTAGTTACATGGAGAAAAGTATTGTAGAAGTCCTACGGCCGGTGCTCTAGGAACTTGATATTTAATGCTCGGAAACATTTACCAGGGTGTGGTTTAATAAAGGTGCAGTAGAAACTATCAACAGTTCGATATAGACCACCTGGTCCAAACAGGCTACAAAGCCAACATTGAAGGATGCTTCTCTATCATCTACCGGGTATCAAATAAATTGCCAAAAACATGCAGGTACCTTATACTCCAAACAGCAGAGGCGGTCACGATTCGCCTTTAAAAAACAACCGGTGCTCTGTGTACAGAAGAAGCAAGTTCAGCCAGCCCTACTACTGCTCTGGTCGGCCTTCAGTGGACTATAAATTCGTGAATTTGTATTATTATCTCTCCTAATTTTTCTGATATTCATTCAGTGTAGTGCAGTGTTATGTTGGTGCTATCGAACTGTGATATTATTATTGATTGGATGTTATTTAAACAGCATTAATGTTGTTAATAATACTAATTCAATCACTATTATGCATATATAATTGTAGAACGCGATAAAGAAGCTATCGAAAAGAATATTATTTGTTCAGTAACCATTCTTTTAAAAAAAAAACGATTTCAAACAAAAAAGTCAGAATAGTAAGAAATACTGTACTACACAAAAAAGAAGAAATGAATGTAAAGGATGGGTTGCTAGGCTACTCAAATACATTCAATATAAATTCAGGAAGGTATAATAAAAGAATTCAAAAGCAAAACAAATACTCACTTGGAATTCAGCAGCTTGACGAGCATTCATTATTTGCTCTTGAACAGTTCGTGTAGCTAAGCCAAAATCCACAATTTTGACATGATCGTTAGAATCTAACATAATATTGGCCGGTTTTAAATCTCTATGAATCACACCTTTGGAATGAATATATGCTAAGCCATCAGTCAATTCACGGAATAAACTCCAGGCTCTATCTGGACTGCATGATAAATTTTCAAAATCAATCACATGCCTTAATGACTTAGATGGACACAGCTCCATTTGGATTATAATATACTATTGTATAGTATGAAAAAGAAAGTTTATAAAAGAAAATTTAGACACTAAGTAGGGTATAACAGTCATTTTTAGCATATTAATTGATTCGAATGAGCGGAAGAAAGAACAAAACGAAAAGCAATTGATACACTTTTCTACGTTAACATACTAATCAACAAGACAGTAAGTAGACAAAATGCTCATTCCACTAAACTACTTCATATCCAACAAGCTAATTAGTATGAACTGTAACAAATCTTCTGCTAAATACTTTGCAATAATCATTATTTATTATTTACATCTCGATTTTATCTTGTAAGATATTGGCTGAAATTATATTAGATACGCTGTGATAATCTCAACCAACTTTTACACTTCATTTTGGAAACGGTATAATTGTAGACGCTTTAAAAAAGGTAAGTCTACATCGATTGAGATGACTTGGAGACGTGTTATGCATGCTAAATCATCGCCTTCTTAGACAAGTAACGTTAGCTGACATAGGATTAAGTTGAAAAAGAGTTAAGCATGGTCAAATAAAAGTCTGAAATCTTTGGCAGTTAGTATGAGTCATATAGAGATGTAGACTCACTTGGTTGAGAAACTCTAGGATGCTGAGAGTTCATGACTAGAGACTATTGGCAATATGTCTCAAAATATTTCCCAGTGGTGCACATGCATTCATTCTTTTTAATCTCCCAGATCCATTAGACCCTTATACTTTTCCATGTTACTATTCTTCCTCCCTCGCATCAGTCAATGAAATCCACAACAGTTAGTTGCAGCCAGTCAGCCACATAAGGAGGTGTAGACTTCCTGGTTGGGGTCCTCAGGACGGTAAACACTAATAGCTGGTGACAATTGATGATATGGCTCAAAATCGTCGTTGTCAATGGCGCAGATGCATCCACTCCTTGTGACTTATAATACCCAATAAAACTATATTGTTCTTTGATATTACCATTCTTCTTGTCTCATATCTCTGTTTACTGTCTCTCTTTTGCATTTCTTTTTACTTTCTTCTCTGGCTTTGTGTGCTGAGTTAAGTGTGGCGACTCGAACTGCTGCACAACGGTGCAAAGTTCTATGTTGAAACCGGTCAGTCAGTCATTGCATTTCTACTCATTATCATTTTTCTGGATCTCTTTTCTCTCTCTCTCTCTCTTTTGTATGCTACGTGGAATGTGGTAACTTGAACTACTGCAGTTTTGTAAAAAGTCATATGTTGAAACTCAGTGAGTCAGTTAGGTTAATGTTGAAATATTGCACCAAACACAGTAATGAATTTTAGTAGACTATTCTCAGTAACGCAAGTGATGCTCAATTTTCGGGTACACATTATAAATTTCAAAAGGAAATTATTGTAGCTTCTAAGTGTGTTGAAAATCAATTATGTAGTAAGATTATCTGGATAAATGTATATGAACCATTACAAGGCTTCGTATAATAGTCTAACGCAAAAAAAAGTAAAGCGGGATGAAAAATAACATTAGTACGGACCATATTACACATTCGAGTTGCTATTACAGATTCTTAGAATATCTTATCCAATTCGCATGCGTACACAACAAGCTACTAGATCTAGTGAAAGTAAATAAAGTGCACTCAACAATCAAGAAATACTAGATACAATACACCAAAACTTACTCGATATTCTCGTTTCGCCTTTTCATGGTTATTCTCATGAGTAGCTCTAAGAATGAGAAAATTCATGAGAATCATCATTACCGTGGTTAAATGAAATTAACAGTTGAGAACAACTAATATATACGCACAAGTGTCATCATCTGAGACGTGTTACAAGAATTTGTACTTTAACAGTGTGACGAAAGTCGCCTACGAAACCGATATGAGCACATAGTCGCCTTTGTAAACCATTGAGTTTTATACATTATATATGAATAAGTTACATTTCCGATAACGAAACAACCAAAGCAACAGTCAGATTTATTGCATGTCTTCACTGCAAATTCAAATTTGATACCTAACTGAATATCATTTGAAATATATGAAAATCAGTTGGAATCACCTTTCACTGACAACTTTTCAAGAAATATAATCTCCCAGATGTAAGCAGTGAGATGTCAGCCTAACGCATTTATTTCTTATCTTACAGAATAACTTCAGGAAGAACTACCACATATTCTTAAACACCATCTTAGAGTTAAGAAGGAGTGTTCAGCATGCATGCCACCAGCTATGACAAATGAGAAACAAGTCCGGGTTAAAAAAAATCTAATATCAAGAAAGTGACTCGTCCGAATCAATCAGTTCTTTTTTCGATGAGCAAGCGTATATACAGGTTACAACTTAACAATCTCACATGAATACGATTTCATCAAATACAAACAATGCTACAGGAGAAAATGAACCTCAAGATACTATTTCTATTCTCTGGAATAACGAAATCAAAAGTCAATTCGAAAGCTTTTTAAGGTCAAACTCCCAATTGAAATTTCACGTGAATACAAGAAATTTCAAAATAATGTGAAAAGCAAGCTTAACTAACTAACTAACTTACTCATCATCAGTATTGTGCTTATTTACCAATGTATCTCTTCTTTTTCTACGAGTAATTAAAGTGTCTGCGAACTGAGTAGATGAATCTGAGAAAACGGAGGTGGCAGATGACGAAGAGGATGATGATGATGTAGAAGATGGTGAATTGTTCTCTGCATCTTCTGTATCCTCACTACTTTCTCCAGGCACTCGAAAGAGATAATTCTGAATAGTATTCGTAGGTTTCTTAGCTGGAAAAAGAAGAAAAGAAAATAACACAATTATTATTGTCATTTAATTACAACTTACATCAATGTAATAAGTATAGAGTTTTGATGGTGACTGGAAACATGTATTTGTATCAACATTGCTATACGGCGGCCTGCTTAAATCTTGGGCTACCAAAATTTCCCATCATTTATATTGCATCTGATTACTTGGATTTATTTTGTCTTAATTATTTAAAATGTTTTCAACCGGCTCATTTATGAGTTCCTGATAAACTTAAGAAAAAGCATCATGGTGCGTGGCGACGAGCCTAGAAGCGTACTCTGATGAATTAGATGACTGTTCGTGTGTTTATGAGCATAAATTGCAGGTCATTACCAAACAAGATTAATTACTTGCATACTCTATTATCTTCAAATATTTATTGTAATATCTATGTTTGCTGATGAATTCACTCTTTTCGCTGCTGCATCTTTCAGTAACTCATTGACCATAGTGACAGGCGATTTTAGTCTTTGTGACCGCAGTTATCTTACAGTGCTAGGTTATGAAAATGTCGTTAGCTTTCCCACGCGACTGGATACTTCGCTTGATCTTGTATTTATAAATGACTCCAATGACTGTATTGTACTCGTTTTACCCAAAATTTATGGAAAGTTACACAAGAGAACCTTTTCACACCTGTCCAAGAAAATTGCACATGGATGTTACTCTATGGAGAATGTTCAGAATCTTAGGAGCATGCTCAGAGACACAAGGTGGGACTTGTTTAATGAAGACTCCCTTGATGACACTATTTCAAATATTACATTGTTATCTCAATTTTTACTTAACACCTGTTGTCCCAGAGAAACACTCTTCATCAGATTGGACCGTTTCTCCTCCCCTTAAATTAAAAAGCGTAGCAGGGGAAAAGGATATCATTGATATGAAAAGAATTAACATCCTAATCAAGTTTGAAATGCAAAGTGGTTGGGTAAGCAGAAAAACAGTATTCCTTATTCATTTGATGTGTGCACACTAAATAAGTCTTTCATACATTCTCCCATAAATGCCAAGCTCTGTAGTGCCACAAGTTTTAATGAAACCTGCTTCCCTGGTTTCAATACAAATGATGTTCTAAAATGTCTCCAGTCGATGAACTCTGTTTGTAGCCTAGGGTCAGATGGTTTGTCTAGCATTATTCTTAAAAGATGTGCAGATATCCTGTGTTATCCTCCCATTGACATATTTAATGAATCTTTTTCCAGAAATGTCGTGCCAGCCGTTTAGAAGGTCATTAAAATTGGGCCTATGCGTAAGTCATCTACTGAAACATGTATTAGATTTAGACCTATTGCTATTATCTCTCCTTTTGTAAGAACTATGAAAAAGTTGTTCTTACTTAATCTTGAATCTTTACTTAAAGCCTTTAACAATCCCAAACAATTCGCCTGTAAACATAGTAGAAGTACTTTAGATGCAGCCACAGTGTTGCATCATAACACTGTCTGCAGTTTAGACAAAGGGGCTAAATTTTTTTCGCAGAAAAGTGTCAATAAAATAATGAAACAGAAATTCAATAAACAATAATTTTCACTAACTAATCACAGATAACTAATGCTTTAATTACAGTCTATCATGAAAAGAAATTTACTTACAGTTACTTATTTCACACCATGACTCATCGGTACGATTAGACTGATCAACAAATATACAAGTGTTTATATCATTTCCAACAAGATCACTTAGTTCCAGTGTATTGTTTACTGGTGAACAAATCAGATGGGATTTATTATGACGATGTAGTAATTTTGTATTGGAATCATGACCAGTCGCGTCCTCCTCCTCCTCTTCCTCCTTGTCATCATCATCATCATCACTATAATCGTCTGAATAAAACGTATTGACTTTGGATGTAGGATACTTTGATTCACCGACTAATAACTGCTTTTTAATCCATTCAGCACACGGCATATTTTTATAAGGAAGTGGTTCAGTAAATGTATCTTGCCATGATGTGAAGTATCTGAATGTGATTGTATAAAAGAGACGGTAATAGAGGACAAGAATGTAAACGCTAGCCATTATAGTGTTCACTAGTGACTAACTACAGGATGAAGTTGCCTGAAGTTCCAGTGGGGTCCACCAAATTGGGCGTCACGAGAAATACTCACTGACGACACTGACTGGTTGTCACACTGTACATTACGAATTAGCAGAAGTTGCAACCGATGTGTCACTGGATTCAGTCTGTGTCTGAATGGTCTACGAACTCGCCTTGTAACCTGAAAGTCCTGGATTCGACCCCTGAGTGAGTCATGGGTGTACACCCCCGAAGAGTCCCGAACAGGGATGACACGGCAGTTCAATACACCCTGGTCTTCGATGGTTCTCTAACTACAGTCAGTCCGTGATGAATCTTTCATCTCGAACTAACAGAAGTTTAGTCATCAGATTCTAGTCAACTGAGTAAATGATAATGTTCTCATCTAGTAACATGATATTTTTTACTCTTAAACTGTTGAAGAGCCCTAAACAAGGAAACACCAACAGTGCATGACTCTGTTATTTTCTTTTGATTGATAATAGAATCTCTCTTGAAATTGTGCTGGTTATAAGCATTATTTCAGAATAGACCACGGATAGATATAAGTTAGGGTACTATTGAAAACCAGGGAGTGCTGGGAAGCTGTTTCGTCCTAGTTTGGGTCTCACCGGCAGTATGCACTAACCGGGTTTCGAACCCAGGACCATCCGGTTACAAGACGAGCTCGTATACCATTCAGCCGCCGACTCAGTGGTCATCCCATGCATTCTAAATTCTACCACTTTGTGATTTTGGCTCAACCACCTACTAATGTCATCAGCAGGAACTCTATCCTCACTCCCGACTGGATGGACCTCACTAGTCACGACTTTTCACTTCAGGCAAATTTTTCCTGCAGCTAGTCACTAGGGAGCATCAGATTAATTAGTTTGTAGGGATTCTATTTGTTTCAAGTTAAACCCTACGAAACCCGGTGACTGCGTACTATCGATGACTCCCAAACTACGACGAAATAGCTGTCCAGTACTCACTGTTTTCAATGGTTCTCTAATTTATATCAATCCGTAGCCTAAACTGAAACAAATAGAATCCCTACAAACTAATTCTTGAATATATAAAAGGCATTATAGTAAAAGCTAGTTAACATTTTATGCTGCAAAATTTAAAAGTGAATTGGCCTAGTTAAGTATCTACGATAGTGTCCAGTCTAAAATACGAAATATATTAACGTGTATTGCAGGATTACTAATTTCACATAACACACCATAATTATTACAGTGAAATCACACTGTTATAATTCGTTCCTATAATAAAGTTTTATAAAGGAACAAGACAATTTGGGATGCATTGAATTACAATGCAATTTCTTCGTGTGCACTTTTTCTCCCGCAAAGGCATGAAAATTGAAAATTTATGTACTTGAATTGTTATTGGTCAAATGCAAACAATTTCATTGGTAAAATCAATGACAAAGAAGTCTTATCACATCATTACAAAAATGTAAATGGGAACAAAACATGTTACTATTGCATGACCTGATTAATAATTCCATTAAAATGTTTTGATCAATGCAACCATCAATCACACTTGATCAGTATTATGTTGAATAACTATTTTGTTTTGTCTATACAGTATGGTTTGTCATCTTAATAAAAATTTGTACTTTTGTGTGTAGTGATTAGTCAAGTCGTTCGCTATATCATGTTTTGTATATATATATATATATATATATATATATATATATATATATATATAGTTTTGACTTAATCAATGAACTATGTTAAGTTATTTGCATCTGACAATGACAACTTGAACTATTAAAGTGCACATAAATTTTCAGCTTAGTGCGTATGTGAGAAAGAAAGAGAATTACACAAAATGCATTGAAATGAGGGTGCATTGCACAACGGGGCGACTCTATATCCTCCATGTGTTACGTAATAGTTGACCAGGGAATGACACATGTTTATCATGAAAAATTGACTGAGTTAAGTAATTCTCTAGAGGGAACGAATTATAAATACCTGACAATGTTTTCATGTTGTAATCCAGAAAGTGTTCGGATTTCACGAAATAGTGTATCAGTTTGACTTTTTGAAGCTTTTACACATTTGATGGCATAATCACGATCTTCAATAATATTTCGTGCCTTCAAGATGAAAACAAACAAAGTTGTATTATTATGATGAAAATTTGAAGAAATTATATCTAAGCTGGGGATGTGGTAGGACAAGTAATATGGAAGTAGAAAAGTACCCATACACAACAATTTAATAAAATATTTATATATTTTGAGTTAAATTAGGGTAAAAGTTTATAGAAGAGTCTTTAAACATAAATAAAATAAGTAGAAACTAACAGAATTTTCAAAGAGACATATTTATAGGCGTTAAAAATTGTCAGAAAGACGCTTAGATGTATAAGTTTTCACTAAATAAATTTACACCTACAACAACAACAACAGGAATATTTACGTTCACTTGTCTTACCTTTCTAACCACACTAACTGATAATACGGCAAGAAATACTATTTTACAACTTCATCGACTTTGAAAAGGTCTCCGACGACGTCGAGAGCGAAGTAATTCAGCAACTGCTTCAATACTACAGAATGTATTGCCACAAAAACTTAGAAACTTCAATCGACAACTATATATGGTGATACCGTATGCCAAGTAGTTCGTAAAGGAAAGCTTGCCAAAGCTTCTGATGTACGACAATTTAGTCTACTATCACTGATGATCTTCCCCAATTGTGGTGGACTAAGTTATGCGACAGAGCGTGGGGATTGAGACGGTGAGCATACTAGTGTACTCAGTATAGGAAACAAGATTCGAATTTTTAACACGTGGGAAGTCAGTGCTTCTGTATAGTTGAGAAAGTCGGTGTGTCACCAAAACCATTTCTGACAGGCTGCAGCATATTGAAGATCAGATGGGTGGTAGGAGAGAATAAGCAACAAGGAATTCTGGGAAGAAACCACCCAATAACCTATTTTTTAACGGATACGCAAAAGGAAATGAGAATGGATCGGACACACACTGAGAAGACATTCAATTGACATCACATGACAGGCCCTTGAGCGGAACATAAACGAGAAGCAACGGATTCAGAGCCTAAGGGTGACATGCATATTATGTGAAGAGAAATGAAAGCTTTGACATTCTACTTTGGTGGGATAATATACTAAAAACTGTTATTGAATAATCAAAAAAGTCTATTGAATCTTAATAATCAACCATTCATTCAGTGTGATTAATTCACTCATACAAGTTAAAGTTTGGTAGGTGAACAGATAAAATAGAAATATCACTACGTATCATAGTAAACTGCACAGATTTGAATTTCGAAGGAGTTATAATCTCCTTTGAATGTACCTACAAGTTCTCATCATACGAATATTTTAATGGTTATTTTCAAGCACCTATCTATTACCATATTCAATGTGCTATGATAAGTAAATCATAGTGAGATGACTTGACAGTGTCTTGTTGTTTAATATTAGCTACAATACTGGTGAAAAACCAATTAACGGAAAAATCAAAATAAATCAATTAAAAGTGAAATAGACAATGGATATACCTTTAACACACAACCAAAACCACCTTTTCCTATCAATGTGAAATCTGTAAAATCTTCAAACAGCCTAGGACACTTGGATGTAAACGTTCCATCAACAGTTTGTGCATCTATAAATAAACATTAAGGTAACATTTGAAAAGTAACTTTCATACACAATAAGTATAATAAAACATTTCCTAACCAAATATATACACCGAGATTAACTCATTCACTAAGACACTTCTGTTTCTTTGTGTGATGTATCTCTTGTTGTAAATGGCGTATGAAGTTGATGTTTCAGATAAACAATCAACAAATTAGACTTTCAGCTGTTGGATTCCAGGTTCGAGTCCTGTTCCACCTATCTCAAGCCTGAGAGACTAGATAGTATGATTAGCCTTCTCATAATAGATGCGGGTGATAATAATAATAATAGTAATAATAGCTTTATTCTGAACAGCTTTTACATAATGTACAGAATTTTCAGCCGAATTGATTGCATAACAGTCTCTCTTTGTCCAAGATCTTCAAGTAAAATTGTAATTCACAGTAGATCGCGTGACACAATGCTGTCTGACCAACTGCTTAAGACATTTCTTCCTTGTTACCCTCGAGAAATGCATGACGTTGGGTTGAAAGTCAATTAAGAAAGGCACAGGGGTACATCTTGAGACCCAAGGATACAATAATAACTGAAGACCGTAGATAGTAAGTTTTATTTCCTAAGGAATGACAGTTTGCACTAAAAATCTCAGGAACAGTTATCTCATGTACTGGGATACGTTTGCACTCACAATTTTGCTTTCGCTCAAGTATAGTAGAAACTTGCGAATATCAACCGATTGTAGACACTTGAAATACTCATGAGAGTTGAAAAACCCATTAGAGGCCATACTTTAATAGATTAAAACCAACTGAGTAACAGAAATTATATGCAATATAATGACAGAGGTTTTTTAGTAGCTCAATTTTCAAACAAGCTGTCGTCGTTGGCCCAACAAATAAGAAATCTTCACCAAGCAATCATATAATGTTTTTTTATATGAGATGTATGTACTCAATGTTAAAAAATAAGAGAATGATAATTCATATACGAAATGAATGATATCGAATAAGTGAGTGGAAAACATTGAATAGCACTCATAGTCAACTGATTGACACATTATAATAACACTACACTAAAGAAATAAAACCTACCTTGATTACTCAAAGTACGCCTTCGACCTGTAGTTTCATGTGCATCCGTATTGATCTTCATTTTATTAGAAATAAGTGTTGATAAACTATGAGGTACAGGATCGTGTAAAAATTGATGTGATGTTAAGTGATCAATGAGACCTGTTCGATTATTACTATTAGTCAATAAACATATTTGTAAGAAGTCTTTGAAAACTGGTTGAGTCACTTCTAAACTTTCCAAAAATTGAGATATAAATGATGTCATCTGATTGAAACTGGTAGTTGGTAGTGGTCCAATAAGGAGATGAACTATAACAAGACCCTGTAGAGAAAAATATAGATTAATGGGAAAAAAAATTAATTTTATAAGAAAATACTATTATACAAATGATGAATGCTTCCTGGAAAATCCTCTAAAAATTTTACCACTGAAATATAAAACACAACACAGGCAATTTTCAAAGTTAAAGTGATATTTGACGAAGCACCAATACTCAGGTGACTGGAAGTATTTGTGTTCGTCTAACCTAAAACTATGAGATGTTTTTGTATAGTATCATAATTTTTTTTAAAGTGAGTGATGGTCATAACCCCCCTCCCGCCCAGTCTTTTTCCATACGCTTGTCTGACCAACAGATAATGCTAGCATACACCGAGACCTACAATGAAAAGGAAGTACATAATATATACCACTCAACGCATAAAAGCTGCTGACTAACAATCTAAACAGTTGACAAACCCGCATATTTCATACTACTATAGATGACAAAATAAAGGCAAACATAAAGATGATAAATTACAGTTGAGTAGTAATATAGCACTATCTAGAAATCGGAAAAGTTAGCTTTCTGTCTGAGTTAAGATAACAGATAAATACAACTTTATCAGGGTAAGCCAGATGATAACTTATCGCCTAATTTACAAAACAAGGAATAAAAACAACCTTGTACAAAAAATATACGCGCATCAATTTGACTTGAATGATGAGATACCACCTATACTGACATAAAAAGGGTGTTTCAAAAGAACGTATGAAACCAAAACTATAGAGACACCAGCTATGTACGAGAATAGGAAACAATAGTATAAGTTAACAGGTAGAAGAAATTTGTACATAAGATAATCTCTGACTAGACATTTGTGGTGATGCGAATACAAATTACATGAATCATTCATATGAAACCAGCTATGACGGAAACCAGCTATATACATACATAGACAATATTTATCAAAGGTCATCTACAAAGAATAATACGAATCTTAATAACATTTATTTGCCCTCATTTATTCACGTGGCTCAAATAATGTGCTGTTTTCGAAAGTTCAAAAAAAAACAAAAAACACGTAAACTATTTAGATTTAAACATTATAAATAAATAAATAAATAAATAAATAAGAACACGGCTACTTTGAACCACTGGTCATTTTAATCCACACGAAAAGTGGTAAAACAACAAAAAACAATTCCATGTCAAACCAATGAAAAACACTTTTGATATAAGTTGCCACGACGAGAATAACTTATTTAACTTAATGATGGTATTCACGACCTAATCTTGCAGGTTCCCAAGAGTAATTACTTGTCTCGAAGTTAATTTTCGAAGTTTTCATATTTAAAAAAAAACATAGTTTTGTTAGTTTAAATTTTTAAAGAGTGCAACGCACATCTGCACTCAAAGTGATCAGTTCTTGATCCCACCTGACTGATAGAAACCCTGCCATTAAAGCAAGGTCTTAGTTGCTGACTCAATAGTTAAACATTACCTGTGTGAACTGCAAGAACATCACTATCTAAGACGGTTAAAAATCTGGGTTTAAGTGTTCTACTTTCAACGAATGAATCACAGGTTCGAACTCTGCTCTACAAGGTACTATCATCACTCTTCATGCAACAGATGAAATATGGAAATGTAGGCGATCACTGTGAATAACAATTTACTCACTTCAGTTTATTTACATGCTTGAATTGTCCTTGAATTTTTCAAAAACCTATATAAGGCTCCCTTCGCACACTATCAAAAGGCTAAATGAACTTGTTAACCTTAGGTGTTAAATTATCGTAGGACGTAACACATTGGAATTTTATAAATGATGTATTAAAAATCATTCCTTCCCAAGGCAATTTTACAAAACTTTGAAATTCAGTAAATTACAACCAAATATCTCTAATGTTGTCCGTTTTACAAAGTCACATATCGAAAATGTTAGACAAAAGTTACAAGGACTACTTGTTCTTCATACCGATGCGTCACTTATTTTATATGAATTATCAATAATATGCCACATGAAATTTCTTCAGTTTTGTAAAGATGTTACTCAGAAAACTAAGACGAATATACAAAATAGGTTGAAGAGTTCAATTGAAGGTCGAAACCGCGTAGATCTTTATCCGGTGAATCCTGATAAGTATGTTACAAATCTTTCTGATATTACTCTATCTACTCATCAGAAAGAAGCTTTATCCCTTGGAGTCAAATTGTGTGTTCCTCGCACGCAACTTACGGATTTAGCCATCCATGCTGAGTTTGAAAACTTATATGACCAACTCAAACCTCTTGCCGCAACATCCGATGAAGATCGGGGTTGGTTTAAGGCCAAGATGGTGGATATAGCTCACCAGTTTTTAAACAACAACCCAAAGGAGAAAAGTATTTTAAATTCCCAGCATTTCAAAGCCTTGAAAGAGCTACGGGAAAATTCTAATATAATTATTACGAAACCTGATAAAGGTTCTGGAGTCGTCATTATGAATAAAAGTGACTACAAATCTAAAATGATGTCCATTCTTGATGACAAAAGCAAATTTAGCCGTGATCCCTCCTCAGAAGATATTCAGTTGTTGCAAGGCACAGTGACAGCTAATCTAGTGAAGCTTCATGGCCTAAATGCTATAAGTAAAGATAAATTTGATTCTTTAAAACCATCAGATTGTAAATTCCCGCATATGTATGGTTTTCCAAAAATACATAAACCCAATAATCCTCTACGTCCTATATTGTCAATGTGCAAATCCCCAACGCATAAACTTGCTAAATGGTTAGTAGTATTATTGCTTCCAGTCAAAACACAATTCTGTAAGTATGTGTTAAAAGATACATTTGAACTGGTTAATTTTCTTGACGATATTAATATTTTGAATAAGAATATGTACTCTTTTGATGTAAACTCGTTATTCACTAATGTGCCTTTGCTCAAAACAGTTGACATTTTGTGTGATTACATTTCCACAAACAATTTTTTCATCCCGTTCCCTATATCTTATTTGAGGGATTTATTACTTCTATGTACTAACAATGTTAAGTTTACATTTGAAGGCTATTGTTTCCGCCAAGTTAATGGTGTTGCTATGGGAAGTCCGTTAGGGTCCCTTTTAGCAGATATTTATATGTCGTACATTGAGAAGTTATCGGAGGATTTAATCAAAAATGTTCTATTTTATAGAAGGTATGTAGATGATATTGTAATCATCAGTTATAAGTCTTGTTTTGCCACCTCAATTCTAAATAGAATGAATGAAGTTCAGAATAGCATATCACTTACATCTGTAAAAGAGGAAGATAATTGTTTATCTTTCCTAGACATATTGCTTAGTCGACGGTTTGATGGGTCGATAAAAAGATCTATTTATAGAAAGCCTACCTGGACAGGACAGTACCTTAATTACCACAGTTTCTGCCCTGTTCAGTACAAAAGAGCCTTAGTCGGCGAGGTGCCTCTTCAGTAGAATCCAACGAATATGCACTGAAGACACACTTAATGAAGAAGAAAAAAAGTTGACACAAACTCTGGTTGATAACAATTATCCAGACAAGTTTATCAAGAGATATAAAGCAGTCAGAACACCAAGACCCACTCTCCAACCCGCCCCTAAGAAAGACCTGTACATCAAGCTACCCTATATGAGGCATCAAAGCAGCTTGATAACTAGACAAAGACTGAACGCTGCTGTTAGAAAGACTTTTAATGCAGCTAATATCATTATAATTGAGAATGTAAAGCCAATATATCTATCTAAGCCCTTCGAACATACGGAAATTGACGTCACATCCCACTGTATTTACCAATTTGAATGTACGTGTGGACACACATACAAAAGGAGGACTCATCGATCTCTGCAAGTAAGGGCTTCAGACCATATTCCTAAATGGATCCAGAAACAAATGGAATCTTCAGAACCTATTAATGGTGAGAAAAGGAGACCTAGCTCTTCTATTGCAAAACATATTATAGAGACAGGACATAAAATTAACGTTAACAGATGTTTTAAACCTATCTATAAAACGTATTTGGGGCGTATCCTTAAGTTTTTGGAAGCCCTAGCAATTAGAAAGTTTAAACCACCTTTATGCGTTCAAAAACAATTCGTCATCCCATTAAACCTTCTTTGGTAAATTTTGTTTTGATACCATAACACATATACTATTACCTCTGCTATTTGGTTTAGTGGTCTTCATTGTTATTTTGACCTTGAATATGTCCTTTTAGCTTGACCTAAGTCTATTTTCTCACCTCTTACCTCTTTATTAATTTTATATATATTCCTATGACAAGTCCGTGTGTGATCAGATTGTTCGAAATGTGTTGCGCAAATACATTACACGATTCAGACGAATTACGTCTTCTTATTGCTTTATATAAACCTATATAATTGTTCGAACTTAATTTGAATGACTTCTTCTTCAACAAAGTAACCACACCTATTGTAAATCGTGTCAGAGTTAACAACTAAACGGTAAACTTGAAAACAACTTTTAGAGAATAAAAATCACTCACAAGTTGATATACATCCCTTTGCTGCACAGATCGACCAGGATAGTAAATATTATTTCGACATATTTCTTTTGGAACATGAGTACCCAATTCTTTAAGGTTTTCTGCAACTACTTGATCAAGTCTAAATATGGAAAAAAGCTCAAAGTGATGAACAACTTGGGAATCCATTAAAACATCTTATATAGTTAAATAATTAAGAATTAACTGGATAAGGTGGGGGAGGGAGAGTACTTCATTATAGTATTCATCAGTCAATAACTAAGGATTCAATAAACACCAAAGGATGCAATATCCAGTGAAACTAGTATAATACCGAAATCTGGAGTACACAATGAACGGAAAACAACTTAGAATGGTAAGACAGGATATGGTTTTAAATAGTGAGGTCACTTATTTTTAGTCTGATATACGTTAGTAACTATAAGTCGCACAGACAACGTTTAAAAAAATGTTACGGACTGATAGTAGAGGAGTAAAAGTACAATCTCCAAAATAATACCTATGAAGAATGTACAATTATTTTGCACATTTTACCACATTTGATAGTCAATTTACTTTACTACTTTTACGCATTTTGTTGATTTTGGATAGATGTGTTGTCAAAAGACTTGATCTATCAATTTGTTTACGCACCGAAGAAAGTATAGTATAGAACGCAAATACAGAAGCCATGATTACTCAGTGTACACGTTATGTTTATTATATTATAATGTACAACATGTTAAACTAAACTAACTTTAAAATAGGAAAATGAACACTAATTTGAAATTCTCAATGTTTGTTTCTACTACTTAGCCTATCGGTTACTTGAATTAGAGGTGGATATCGCCCACTGGTTTAAGGACTCGGTGGATCTCGGGTTTGAACTGAGACCCGCGTACATCACCTCGGGCAATTAGATAGTAACGTTAGCCCCACACAAAAGTGCGGCCCATAGTTTGGTAAGCGAGAAACGAATTTTAGCGGACACTTTGATTTCATCCTAACATTATTCAGTAAACGATGGATTCCACGACCAGTCATAATCTATCGGAGTAAAAATGAACACTTTACCTTTCAAGTGTGAGTTTGTAGTAATTTGATTTGTTTCAAGTCTGATCATAGATTGATATCAGTCGAACTGATATCATGTTACAATGTGAGTCAGTTGACTAATCTAATCTCAACCAATAAGACGGAATGTTATAATGGTCCATGAATTTTAACTTCGGTAGCACCAAAAAATAACTAATTGACAGAAGTGGCTCATTGGTCAACGGACTCGCCTGGTAAACTAAAAATTCTGGATTCGATATCGGTTGGTGTCATGGGTGCGCTCCGATGAAGATTCCCAAACTGGGACAAATCATTTTTCTAGTTCTACTTGGTTTTCAATAGTTCTTTGATTAATATCAAGTCTGTGATCCCACTTAAACTCTTCCCTGTTGTGAAGGATATTATTATTATTATTACTATCATCATCATCTCAGATGCACAAGTCATAACATTAGTATCAACTTATATTTTAATAACCAAAAGGTGAAGTTAATCGTCCACCAAAGTAATAAATGATTTACCTTGCAAAATATTCATATCTCCATAGTGTTACGTGACCTGACTTATCCACAAATATATTGGATGGCTGTAAATGAAAGAAAAAAACTTGAATTATTACACCTACTTGTGATAAATCCTTTAGCAAAGGATATTTTTAAAAGGAGTTTTTTCTCTAGTCTGCTTATTTCTGACATATCCATTTGATGATGACTAAATTTAGCAGAAAACTATAATGGTAACAGACTACGACAGTCGAGAGGATATGCCACGCTTAATTGCATATTAGTTGAACTTAGCAATACTAGTAACTCCTAGAAATCGAATGTTAAAGTCACTAATAGTTCCTTAGAATCATATGATATAAACCTTACTGACACATAAATTTCATCCCTTAACAGACTGCATAGGTTATGAATTTTCGTAAAACTATCATTAAAAAGAGAAAGTAAGAATGATTAATCCACTTTTGAAGTTTGAATCCTCGTATACGATTAACACTGAACACGATATCTTGAAAGTAGACACATAATACAGTCTAAGTTGCAGCATTAAAATGATAAGGTGGAAATTTAATAGCTTTCCTATTGTAAGTAAATTATTACTTATTATTGAAACACGAACTTGGTATATAGTATGGGCACCAACAGATGCACCAAACAAAAAGCAATGAACCACAATATATGAAAAAGAAGCAGACTAATTGTGGAACAGTATTATGGTAGACCAAAACTACACAAACCAAACATTTCCTTACGACCCATCGTTTCGCTTCCAGGAACACCAACATATAATCTATCTAAAGAACTTTTCAGGAAATTAAATTACCTAACAGAATCATGCGACCATTCTATCAATTCGTCAATCCAATTTTTAGAGAAAATCAAAAACATTCAAGTAGAAGACAATAAAATAATGGTGTCCTTTGATGTCACAGCATTATATACTTCAATTAGTCAAAAACTAGCAACAGAAACTATGCAACAATTACTCTGTAGTGATGAAAACATAAAAACGCAATGTTCAACTTGGATAGAACTCATAAAATTATGCCTTACAACATACTTCCAGTTCAATACTCGAATATATGAACAAATAAAAGGAACACCAATGGGATCGCCTATATCAGGATTAATAGCTGAAGCCGTCATGCAAAGATTATAATTAATAGCTCTACCTATAATTAAACCGGAAATCTGGATAAGTTACGTTGATGATACATTTGTAATAATGAAGAGAAGTGATTTAGAATATACTCATAAATTAATAAACAACATATTTGAAGACATCAAATTCACAAGAGAAGAATTAGATAGCAAAATCCCATTTTTAGATGTCTTAATCAGGAGAACCAACACAGGAGATTTAGAGACACAAGTATATAGAAAATCAATGCACACACACAGATCAAATACACAACTATACTAGCAATAATCCAGTTAGTCACAAAAGAAACTGTGTGTAGACATTGTTTAAAAGAGTTCAGACACATTGTAGCACTCCAGAATTGAAAAGAATGGAAGAAAAGTACCTACTAACGGTCTTCAAAAAGAATGGTTATCCACGAAATTTCATCAAAAAGTGTTTAAAGTCGAATCAAAACACCAACAAGAAACCATCATCAAAGACCACAAGAAAATTCATTCTACCATACATGAGGAATATCTATGAAATAACAGCTAGAATACTGAAACCGTTTGATATAGATATAGCACACAAACCAGTAAAATCGCTTAATTCGATATTATGCAAACCGAAAGATCCAACAGAAAAAGGGGATAAAATTAATACCATTTGCAAAATAAATTGTATGAACTGCAACAAGCATTACATCGGCCAAAGTGGGCGTCCCCTTTGAATCAGAATCCAAGAACACAAATCAGCCGTGAAAAGACACGATATGTATTCTTTAGTATCAATGCATATAGACAATTATGGTCATCAATTTGATTGGGATAATGTCAAAATCTTAGACAGAGGAAACACAAAAAGTGCCAGGGAATTCCTAGAAGCCTGGTACTCAAACGAAAATGCAATTAACAAGCACGTTAATATAGACGAAATATACCAACTAATAAAAAGTAAATCAGGTGACCAGAAAGTTTAAAATCCAAGTCAACAGAAAATGGTCAATACATATGTAAAGATAGTTACCAGGAGACGCAATTATATCACTCATGAAGAAATTTAAATCATTTCACTTTGTGCTAAATACGGCGCTGAAGATGTTGTCCAGAAGGACGACGAAAGCTTCGCAAATAAACCAACCAGCTCAGAGAACACTATTAATTGCAAAGCATTTGTTACTCTTAGAAACGAATAAAATTCAAGAAATACAGCCAACAATTATATCTTTGTATTTAACTATAACACTAAACTACAAGAAGATTCCAACTTCATTAAGTGGGAAATAATAATGTGCGCAAATGATCGAGAAAAGTATGAAATTGAAGGAAGGATGAAGTTAACTAAAGTATGGTAAAGCAGTCAGGAGAATTTGGCCCAGGACTTTTCAATATCTCACTTTCCTACCGATATTTGAAGCCTATACTATACAACTATACGACCTGCATATGTAGATCTGTACAGTTGCTAAACAAAGATTTAAAAGTAACTTCTACTTTAGTGCTAGCCCCGTGTTTTACCCGGAATGTAAAGGATGAAAACAAAAGAGAAGAATGGATATACATTGATCTAAGACTTTTATGTTAGGTAGTTGAAGACAATCAACAAGATGTCTTATGCGCAGGTTGCGTATCTACTGGGGTATCCATACCCTCCAGATAACCGATACCCCCACACCATTCATTATTGCAGTCAAAGACCTTACCACTGAGCACATAACCCTCTGAACGCAGCATTGGGTGACGTGGATTCCGATCTACGAGATGTCAGTCCCTTTGTCGTTGCAAAAATGCCTTGTTGACAGCTGCTAATATGCAGGAAACCTAGATGATGATGAAAATCCTGTAACCAATCAAATCCCTACAAACCAACACTTAGATATAAGTTTCCTTGTCAATTCCTTTCAACCCTTTGATATGAATTCAAAGTCCCCCGCAATGGTTAGTCGCCTAACCTGGTGACCGCACCACAAACTTGACCGATAGAATTCAGTCGCCCCTTATACTAAAAACTAGACACATGACGACTCAGTGTATTCTAAAACTTTATTTGATGTTACATAAATGTGAAATAGTACAACAATTTTTATTTTAACTTACATTCAGATCTCTATGTGCAAGTGAAAGACTATGAAGCCAAGACAATGCACTGACAATCTGTTTAACCACATAACGCAACCACATTAATTTTGTATCATCTATTTGAATAGGTTTTGAAAATGAAGTAGACAACAAGTTGGAACCAGACTTTTCACTAATGACTATAGGAAATGCCACACCTCCAATAGTATCCAAACTTGTTCCTTCTGGACGCTCTGTAATCAGACGTACAGCATTCCAGTTTTCCCATAGTTTCTCCATACTTTGGTGATATGTATTTAGGTCAATACCTAAAAAAAGTAAATAGCAGTATGATAAGCAGTAGACTACAATTACTTTGAAACACAACATAATTATTATTGCTATTGGAACAAGGAAATTGATTCTTGTCTAACTGTTTTCCTTTCCTTAATTAATAAGTTAATTGGCTTTCTCGATATTAACACTTTTGTTATCAACACTGTTAAACCACAGCTTATTACTACATCGAATGAAATAGAGGAAAAACATTAAGATTGAACTCAGAAAAAGTTAAATGTTGGGATGTTTTCAGTAGGTTATATCTAACAAAATCAACTTACTATTGTTCGTTTATGACAAGACATGAATTTTGATATGTTGTAAGTATTACCAGTAAAATACTGAATAATAAAGTTGACATATGCTGAGAAAATTGTGGATTACTTTTAAAACAACAGCAGATAAGTTTAACAACTGAGTGTAACTGTTGTTTTTCAGTCTGAATTCTGAAGACAACGCAGAGAAAAAGGGGAAGCACAGATTATGCCTCCTGCGCAAACACGAATAACCTTTTATCACTACCTTGGCTACCTTTGGAATCAAGAAATTCTCAAGCACCAAATTAAACATAAGGGCGTTTAATTTTAAACCTCAACAACTTATATACACATATAAGTATGTTCTTAGTCTGTATTATCTCAATTTGTTTTGTCAAATCCACTTAATTTTATACAATTTGCAATTTGTTCAGAACTATTCTTCTTTTTGTTATCTACGTTATTACGATTTGACCTACACACACACACACACACAATTCTGGTTTGTGTTTCTTATGTAATTCTACTTAGATTTTATCCTCATAAGATCTGTAATTTAACAGAATACAATTTTCACGATTTTTTTGTAGGGATTCTGTTCAAGCTAGATCATGGGTTGATATCAGTTAGAAAACTATTGAAAATCAGAGAGTATTGGACAGCTGTTTCGTCTTAGCTTGGAGCTCATAGGCAGTACACACCCACTAGGTTTTGAACCCAGGACCTTTCGGTTACAAGGCAAGTTTGTAGACAATCCAGCCACTGAAAACCGACTCAATGGACATCTCATGAATTCTAACTTCTACCAATTCGTGGTTTTAGCACAACCACCAGTCAGACAGGAAAACACTGGATCACCCATAAGAAAACTCTATCAGATATGGATTTCGTGCGAGGATGATTTAGGTTTAATAACACATAGCCTCAAACACTTACAGGCGAAAACTAACAAACTCGCTGAAGAAGCAGCCAGAGAAGGCAAGACTCCAGGTGAACATAGAGAAGACGGAGGTGATGAAGATAACCAACGAACAGCAACGACAACAACAACAACCAGCACCAATCACCATCAAAGGGAGATATTTGACAGAGGTTACCTCCTTCACTTATCTACCCAGACAGCATCGTTTTAACTACAGGCAGAACGGATGAAGATGTGAAGGGCAGCCAGAATCGGAAAGGCAGGATACACCTTCATCAACCGGAAACCAGTTTGGAAATCGTCTGCACTCCGCCTCACCATAAAGAACAAGATTCGGATTCTGCTCAACACTAATGTTAAGTGAGTCAGTTCTTCTATATAGATCAGAAACTTGCACTGCGTGTAACCAAAAGGATTCCCAACAGGCCGCTGCAGACTTTTATCAACAGCTGCCTTCTCTGACTACATACTGAAGATCAAACGGCCAGAAAGAATAAGCGACAAGAAACTATGGGAAGAAACTAACGAAGAGCCAATCACTCAGCAAATATGTAGGAGAAAATGGAGACGGATCGGGGATGCACCACTGAGGAGGCCGTCGAATGACATCGCGTGCAATGTAGGCCATTGCTTGAACGGAATCTGAATGGGAAGCGGTGAGTGTGACGGTGACATGGAGGGGATCGTGCGAAGAGGAGATGAGAGATTATGGGCAATCGTGGACCCAACTGAAGAGGAGGGCAGAAAATAAATCAAAGTGGAGATGTGTTGTTGAAACCCCATGTTCCATTCGGAACCCAAGGGAATGGAAATAACCAGCCAATGTCATCGGAGGTGGGTAATCGCTATCACTCCCGATCGGGTGGACCTCACTGGTCACAGGCAACTTTCCCCTGAAGCCAGTCACTAATGACCATCAGATTAATTTTTAAGAGTTTGCTTGTGGGGAATTGATTTGTTCTGAACAGAATTTGTTTATGAACTATAATCATAACCCACTCACAAACTTGTGATTTTATGTTGGTATATCTGACCTTATTGATCATTGCAGTCAGAAATACCAAAATATATGAGTAAATAAGTTTAAACCAAACGCGTCGGATAGGAAGGTGGCTTTTGAAGCTTAGTGGACACTGCTTTGACGTTTGCAGTGATGGGTACTGGGGGTTCAAATTTCAGTAGAAACCGTACTACCTAGCTGACGAGTCCCAAATAAAGCGGAAATCACATCCTGGATTCTACTAGTCGCAACGAGCAAACAAATGATTTCAAGCTGTTAGTCATAATCGTTCTTACTTGTCATAAATGCTTTATTACTACAATCATTTACTTCGGATAAATTCTGAAGTCATACACTTTGTTGGTATACTTTTACACCACATACGCTAACATACATTTCCTTAGAACTGAATTTCAACATTGTTTATCCCAAAAAAAAATGTTTGTTTGACAATTCGCTGCTACAGAAATATGACTGTTAAGGGAATTTTTAAACAAATTCTTAAACTCATATATTTCTACTCTACTAAAATACGTACCACATAGATTTTTTTGTAAGACTTTTTCTAGCAGTCTGTAAATTCCAAAACTACCGATGCAACAAAAGGATTAAATTATATTCAGAGCAGAATTAACCTGAATTAAGGATTTGTAATACTTAACTTACCACAGGCAGGTAAATTTCTGGTGCATTCAACACCTAAAATCCTACACAGATTTGGGTGTTTATTTTGCCGGGAAAAGTAGGCGAGTTGAGTTAGAAAACTATCCAAGAAATCACTGTTAGTTAACTGAGTATAATTTGTGTGGAAAACCCATTCGTGTAGTTGAATTGAAGAACCGGTTTGAACATCCAAGCCATTAAAATAGCAAACACATGGAAAGATATCTGAACTGAGATTCCTAGATCAGTAATTTTTTAAAGAAAATAATGAATTACAAAATACCATCCTACTTGAATAGATGAGATTGATTATGAGGTCCATCTGCACAACAGCCTCTTTGAATTTCAATGAGAATGGATTCAGGTGATTTGTGAAATGTTTCATACTCATTAAATGTAGTAAACTTCTTCAATTTCTTACAATTTTCCAAGTACAACATACTCAGGGAACAAACATTTGAATGTCTATTTAATGGACACCTTGAACTAATTATTGGTTGATAAGATTGGTTAGAACAGGGAGAGAAATGTAAGCTTGATCTCTGGGTATCGGATTCATTAACTTCTAGTTTGGAAAAAATTCTGACAAAAAATAAAATAAAACGAATAAGAAAGTTGGGATAAAAAGTACTTTCATTATACAGCGTAAATGATCAACTTTTCTAATAACTTTCAACTTGTATATTATCCTTAAGGTCTATGAAATATGCCAAAGATATCAAATTAAAATCTGAACAACCCTATGTGATTAGCGTTCATTATTGAGATGAATAGAACAAGAACAAAGATACCCTGAACTCCTCATTCAAGAGATATTTAGATATCGGCATGTAATACTTGTTGATCTGATCTTTTTAATGGGTACACACAGACCTACTACACATTTTTATTCCTGCATATGACTGACAATTATGCGATCTAGTACAAACTACTCAACGTAAATTTATTGTTTTGGAAGTGATTCTGGAATTTTTAAACCTGCGCAGAATTATCGAATCGTGTGTATAAAATTGTGTCCTAGTTAACCCAATATTAAAGTCATCAATTCCATCATCAATAAACATGCTTATTTCCTTACTTATTGAAACTTTCTGATATGTTAGCAACCTAGTTGGGAAACTAAACGAAGTATTTGGGTTTCTCATCACTGTTACACTGTGATCAGGCTCTGAACTATAGCATAAATATGTGTAGGTCAGATTATCAGTAGAAGAATGATAATGTACTTGCCTTGCAGTCTTTGACTCCTTTTTTTTGTAATGCTGTGGATACTGAACATTACTAAGTTAGGACAAGACTTTTATTTGGTGTTTGATAATTTTCAACGATTCTCTTAGTTGGCCTCAGATCGAGACCAAATTCAAGATTTATATATTTATTACGCGATTCTTCAACAGTATGTACTTACTTATTAGCTTGCACACACGTCTTATTGAAAAGGAAAAAAACTGAACAGAGCAAGCGACAACAAACCATTTGACTAAAAGTATAACATACTCGAAAAGTTGATCAGTCTCTGCTTGTTTCTTCTGAATTTCCGCCTGCCAAAGACAATAAAAGCACCGTAATGACTAGAAATGCAGTTATTTGGTTATATATATAGCATGCTAAAATTAATGTATTGATAATTGTGGAGCCTGAAGAATTTATTCAAACCAACTGTTTGCTCTAACTACTTTTGTTCTGAATAGGCAAATGAAGTGTATGTTATTAGTTCGGGTAAATAAATTCCCTCTGAATTCCAGGTTTAAACCAGGCATCATTTACTCCATGCAAATCTCGTCACATTATGAAAATGCTTAAGAGTTTTATGTACGAAATGTGAGAAAAGTGCAGCAGAACATTTATAAGAAAAGTGCAGCAGAACATCTATAAGAAACTTGTCGACAGTTTTCAAACGGAATTGGGTTGATCACTTTCTCTATTCCTATAGACAGTCTTTGCTTTAAAATAAAAAAGCTCTGATATGACATGTATAAGAAAGACTTATCACCAGAACCAACGTTTTGGTGCACACACTAAATAAATAACAATAAACATCAAACTGGGATTGCTTATTTGATAGTACTGCGGAAGAAGTGATGGTCAAACACAAAAAATCCCTAAGCATTTTCAACTTAAAGCATCAAGGGTCTTGCGTGTGTGTGCGTGCAGGGTAAAACTACTCACACAACAACTTAACATTTAGCGGATTTTCGATTTCTATAAGGATATTATGAATGAAACGTTTTCCAATAAGGTAAGTTGAGCGCGAGGACAGATACTTGCCAACGATATGGAATAGCGGTGGCCTTCTATGGAGAAATGACAGAAGTTAGAATTCGAAGGCTATTGGATTCTGACCTCTTCAATTCACAACCTTAAGGTCTAGAATATGTGCTGACGAGGTGCCTAAACCTAGGATGAAACAACTATCTAGTGCTCTCTGATTTTCGGTGGTCGTTTAACTGGTGTTAATTTGTGAGGAAATCTACCCAAAAATAAACGCAAGATATTGCAATTTACCTTTTTGACACTTTTTTTTTACTATGATTTCGCTTGCCCTGTCTTAAATTACACAACGATCCACATACACACATAGTATTCACAAATCAAAAGCTTATTAATTTAAAAAATAGGGAAAGGGAAATATCCTACTTTCTACTCAGTGAATATCACCTACCATACAATTGAGCTTTCTTTTCAGAAATTTCAGATACACAATAAAGAGTATTTACAAATTAGTGATAATCATTTAGGCAACTATAATATAGAACATTTAGACTGGATGCTAAACAGATTATAGATTTGTAGTTAGACTAACTAGTCTTAATAATACCTTAGAGGCCAGGGGGTTAGACAGTTATTCATATTGTTCCTTTGACCAATTACCTACATCCTTATTGTCCTTTTCTGGTGACTTTTTAAATAGCAATAGTCTGAATATGGAATCATATTAATTTAATAATAAAAAAGAATAAATTATCAAGTCTAGTCTTACTTCATTTAATGATAAACGCCACTGTATAGTCTCATCAATATGCTCCATCTGTGAAAAAAAAATCAATTTATGGACAATAACAGCTACACCTGTATTTAACAAAGTACGAATGGCAGAAACAAAAATCAAGACACTAATGTTACAAAGGTTATCAATTTTGTCCATTGTAACCGTGATTTGTTTACTTACTGATATTTAATTTCATGAAAGTGAATAAAACTTCTGATGAAGAATGTGACTTAAAGTCATATACAACTAAGCTATTTTTCCCTTTTTAAATTAAATTCATAATTTTTAATGCGGCAAAAAAAGATTTCATTTAACAATATAAAATAAGCAAATTAGTGGATGAGTATGACGTATTTATGCATAGTATTAAAATGAAAATAATTTAAAACAAGAGGATGGTCGGAAGTATCTGGGAGTTTATTTGCACTGTTTAACAAATTTTGAGTGACCCAACTTCAAATTTTCTGTAATAATACCGACTTCTTAATATTTTAAGAAGACTTTTGGTGTATAAGCGTCTTAGTTATGTTGATATGGAAGAAACTGTGATATCGTTTCTTTAACAGATAAAAGCAGATTAGGATTTCGGGAGTCTTTAGAAACCACGAACATGTAGTACTCTACTAAATTATACAAATAAAATTACAAAAAAGGATCTCTTCGCTGATTCATGTGTTCTTAATTACATGAAATGGGAGCTAAGCAAAGAAAAAACGCTTCAGTATCTAAAGTTTTCTTTAAACAAAACCTACCTCTGCTTTTATTGCCTTCTGCCTAGATATCTGCTGATTTTGAGCAAATCTATCATCCTTTCTTGTGTTTAAGACTTGTTCCTTTCTTTGTGCTTTACAAGTGGTGGTGGGAGCAGTTAATGATTTCAAATAATCTTGACTAGCCTCGATCAACTCTTTCATGCAAATCTAGTAATTTTTAAAATAAGACGAAAAATATTTATTGCTACAAAAACCATGGAACTTTATGTGTATAGCTTTCTATATCTGATAAACAGCGAAAAATAAAGTGTATTTGTCAAATGTTTAGAAATGAAAAATTTGCTATCACAGTGAAAATTCAAAGTTACAAAAATGGCGTTAAAAACGGAATTTTCGGTAGAAGAAGCGACTGATACTTTTTACATCTTCAAAATATTTGTGTTAAAATAGGTACCACGAAAGATGTCAGTATCTTTTCTTACAAAATCATAAAAGTAGAAGACAAACAGAAAAAAAGGTGAAGAGATACCTTGCCACCTGATTGGTCGTTTACAATAACGGAAGTGACAACTAAAGGTTAATGTAGATTCAGACAAATGAATACCTTCTGAGATTAGAAATTAACTCTGCCAATAAAGCTTGGCGGATGGTTTAGCGGTGTGAAATCACTGATAAATAGGCGTGGTAACCAAGACCTTCAGAGTAGCAGGCATGGAAATCAGACATTTCCGAAAATGGAAGGAAATTTAGCGAATTTTCAGAAGCGAAACAGTAGTTTCAGTTCCTAAAGCGGCTACCTATTATCACTTATTGGACATACTGGACTGACAAACACATTTTCTTTGCTGAAGGTACTTCGAAGACAATGATAATTAAAGCATCAGTCCCTAAGCTAAGTCACAAAATTCCCTGTTTTGTGAAATACTGAAAGACGACAGACACCTTAGTCTACAGTGACAACTTTGTGAGAATGTAAATAGGAAGTGATATTTGGTGTGACAAATACACTTCGCTCTCGAATGAAACCATATCAAAAATGAACTTTGTGGGTAAAATTTAATCTCAAGAATGCATTACTTTCTTAGTAGGTAAGATGGCCGCCCTTACTAAGAAACATTTCGAAAACTATGGGGAGCGAAAAGAAATGCTAACGCATATCTTTGAGTCCATAATAAAGAAAACAAATGAGATAATCACGTAGTAACAATAACTTACTTGGCCTTTCATAGTACTAGCCAATTCACCAAGTATACCACGAAGAGTATCAAGCTGCACTTTAGAAACCCTCTTGTTCCCATTGATTCGAAAGCTAATAATCCTGCAAAAATAACAGATAGGCATAATGTATTTGAACTAATGACTGAGTTTATTAGAACTTTAATCTGTTCAACAAACCAGAAAAAAGCATCAATAGTCTATTTCCAGCTACGATATACAGACACAGTGTGATAATAAAGTACGAGGAACAAAATGATAAATATAATTTCATATTTTTAAGCAATACAAACAACTAATTTAGCTAATCCACCACATATTTCTTATTAACATGATAACCGGTAAAAAGTTTGAAAAGAGGATTGCATCACCTAAATAAATACCACCTAGAAGTAACCGCCATCGGAAGGCTTTTGATAACAGTGATAAATGTTGGTTCGACAGAGTGATCAATGAAAGGTGTTACAAAGTGCAGCCACTTAGCACAAACTAACTCAATTAAACCAGGTTCTTTAATGTACGAAGTTCTGTATACACATACGGAAGACAGTTCGGTTATGAATAACATACAAATTTATGGTATGTCTTACTAAGTATTACGTCAGAGATTTTAAACAATTTCAATCAGCATTAAGCCAAAGTCTACATCATTTCGCCATTAAGTTTAGTTGCAATGTAAGGCACTTTCACTGCAAGTGTAACAAGCAAAAATACTAGGGCCTTTTGTGTTCGCCACTAGGCAACTAACGATCGCTTGCTTATTTCAGATCAAACAGCACTGCATTACGCGGATCGATTAAAATATGGTCAGTGTTGATGTGATTTATTGACACAGGTAAGTGTTCATTTCATGGTGCCAGGATATCAGCTAGTCACTTGTTTTTCCTGATCATCTGTAGCTAATAAACACTGGAATACTTAAAATTACTGACTTACATTTTAAACATGCTAGAAAAATGCAAAAGCAACATACCAGTCGCTGGGTATATGGCTAGTTCACTTTGGTACATGACTTTCAGTGGCTGAGTTCCGTTTCTAATCATGCTCACCTTACATTAGCTTAAGCGACTGTGCAGCATCATCAGATTTCGCATAATAAGTGTAAACGACAGCCTGGCACTCGAGAAACCTGTTCTACCTCACAGTCTCAACTAACTGCCATCCCCCTTGTGACAAGAATCACGTTAGTGCTTAGGAAAGCAATATTGATTAATTATACTAACCAACATTTCTAAGAGTTTATTTCATTGTAAACCATTACCTTAGTTGGCTAAATGAAAATGGTTGTATGATTACAGTAGCGTCAATAACAACTTAAAATGAGTGGCAAGTCAAAGCCTAAGGTACCGCAATATGATGACGGATAAAAAATTCAAATGGATCTACACAACATTAGGTATATTTTCCCAAAACTTTCTTCAACAACGGTTATGTCGACAAAAACCAATCAGAAATGCAAAGGAATTGAATTCGGATAGACAAATGTTGATAGTATTTACTAACTGCTATAATATATTCTACTACGCAGGAATATCTGTGCGCGTGAATAAGTTTTCTATCCATAAATCCTGTGTGCATTGTGAAATGAATGCGACTACCACAAATGTACCTAAAAACGACTGTATATACAAGGTGAGTCACACTTTCGCTAATATTTCAGACCCAATACAAACAATTACAAATATATGCACAAGAAATTCATTCGTTTACCTACTCCACTGACTTCCACTATATATTACTGAAAAACTGACTCATGTCAGACAAACATCAATAAATAAAACGATGCATATTAGACGGATACGATAACACGCTCAATTAATGCATTAATTTAAGTAGCACAACTAAAACGTAACTATTAAAAACGACTTAATTCTTACGCTTCAGGATACTCAGGATTACATAAAAACTGAAGGTTAATTGCCTTTTCCGGACCACCTGGACGATTAGACGAAGTTATCCTTAAACTGACTTGTACGGGGAAATTCGCCCTTTCTAAATCGCGTACCGAATCGAAAGGTAGCTGAGGAAAGTGAAAAAAATAAAAACCACACCTACGCATAGTTTTTTAAACCCAGATATAGATACTATCAGATCAGGAAATATGGAGCAGATAGCAAACAATTCTTCCCTCTGGACGGAATCACACATCACGCAAACTACGTACGGTAACGGAGCATTTTAACATGTCCGCCTTTCTAAGCCGATGTCCAACATCCTATATCCTATATCCTGATTACGAGCTAGTATAAACCAGTGATTTCTTTGAGCTTGCTTCTTGATTGTAAGGTAGAGGTTCCAGATCTTCAGTGAACTTATGCGTAGTAAGTCCCGCCACTCGACTGCTTTAGCTCTGGTAGACTCCAAGAGGAGTGGTGCGAGGATTGGTCAAGATGTGGTTTGTAGTGTGTAGTATGTTAGGACTGAGTTGCTGCCGTGAATGGAGTTTGACCTAACACCCGTTGGTCATTCGGTGTAGCCATAAAAGCAGAGTAGTAATAATAATAGGTTGTAGTGTAGATAATATAGGTTGAGATAAGTGAAATAATAAAGGTGAAATAATAAAGAGAGAAAGAAAAGATAGAGTAGTCGGTACAGTGGGAGAAGACAGGACGGGTCGTAGGGATTTAGCTTGTATGCTTATCCATTGACAATGTGGTTTCAAATTTTAAGAGGGTAAGCCATTGAGACACGAACCATGCATTTATGCATGATTGTCCAGCTTCCGCTTAAAAGTCTCCACAGATGGCGCTGTAGTCACGGCCGCCGGTAAAGCGTTCCAGAGACGGCAAACTCGAAGCGAAAAGAAATGTGAACGCACTCGAGTCTTTGGTCTCTGGTGTGCTATCCTTAGCGGGTTACCTCGTGGTAGCCAATAATCACTTAATGGCAGGATGCTTTCATTAGGGTGGGCCTGGTCATTTAGGATCTTATACACGGTGATGAGGTCTCCCCTGTGACTACGGTAACTAGGTGTGAAAAGACTTAATTTCTTCAGTCTTTTCTCAGATGATTTGTTGCGGGGGCCGATCACCCATTTTGTCGCTCGTCTCTGGACACTTTCTAGAATGTTAGCATCCCTTTTGAGTAGCGGAGGAGCAATGATATTATGCACCTCAAGGAGTGGCCTCACGTATGTCGTATACAACCTTAAGAATAGTTCGGGAGTAAGAGCTCCCAGCTGCCTATGCATAAAGTGTAAAGTTGCGCAAGTTTTGGCGACGTCCATCGTGTAATATACACTGGTGTCTAGCTTTTCTGTCAAAATAAGACCTAGGTCGCGTTCTGATGGCACACAACTCAAGTTCTGGCCACCAAGGGTGTAATTTACACTCTGTGACCTACCGGAATGAAGTTGCACTACTTTGCACTTCTTTAGGTTGAAAGGCATTCCGTCAGCCAGAGCTCAGTCTCCCAGAGTTTGCAGGTCAGCCTGCAATCTGTCGGAGTCTTCCGGTGAGTTTATTGCTCTCCAAATCTTTACGTCGTCAGCGTAAAGAAGCGCAGAGCAGCTCAGTTGACAGGGTAGGTCGTTGATAAAAATCAAAATCATCAACGGCCCTAAGATAGAACCCTGAGGAACCCCTGATGCCGAAGTGTGCCAGGATGATCGGATGCGGTTGACTTTGGTGCAGAATTCTCTCTCGCCTAAATAATCTTCCAGCCATGCGAGAAGTGCTCCAGAAACACCCGCTTTGCTTATTTTGTGAAGGAGCAGACCATGGTGAACTGTGTCGAATGCTTTCGCAAAGTCGAGAAAGATCACATAGGCTGGTACCTTTACATCCCAGGATAGTGTCCAATCGTTCCAAGCTAGTAGAAGATTCGTCACACAGGATCTTCCCCTCCTGAAACCGTGCTGTGCTTCATGGAGTAGGTTAGTCCCGTCGAAGTGTTTTCTCATGTGGTCGTCAATGAGACTTTCCAATATCTTCGATATCACTGGGAGTGGCGCAACTGGTCTATAACTGGTCGCGTTCTGTCGGTCACCACCCTTGAAGATAGGGGATAGGATGGCTCGTTTCCATTCATATGGAAGTTTCCCTACATCAAAGGAGTGTTGAAACAGATCACTTAGGGGTTGGCAGAGATTTCTGAACACTGCTTCAGGACGGATGGTCTTATGGCATCGCAACCTGCAGACTTTCCCGAAGCCAGCTTTCCCAATTTTACGAGTACCATAGCCGGGGTAATTTGAAATGTACCCAGCAGGTTTTCGCACGTTGGTCTTGCACTGTAATCTTGATGTTTTGTGGGGGTAAAATCCTCGTTACCGTTCAGTTGCCTGTGAAAGGCTAGACTGAATGTCTCTGCCATTTCAAGACTTGTAAGAGATTTCCCATCAGAACCCACTAGATTGCAAGCTCCCTGGTTGGTCGGTTTTCTTTCAGACATAAAAATGTGTAGGCTTTTGGGGTTCACGAGAAGCTTATTGGCGAGGTTTCTCTGAAATGTCCTTCTATCACTCCGGACTCGTATGTTACATCGATTCCTGAGTTCGAGGTACACTTCATGGTCGGGTTGACTCTTCGATACTCGCCACGCAAACCAGGCTTTTCGCTTCGCCTGTAGAAGGCGTTGTGTCCCCCTCTTTAACCATGAACGTTGCTTTCTAGCTTTTGGTGTGACTAAAGGAACAGTGTCTGAGATCGCCTGATGAATGATCTCCTTTACCACTCCCCAGTGTTCTTCTACTGTAAGCTCTGTCCAATTTTTTGGCCAATTTGCTTCAGACAAAAGTCTTCGCATTTCGGTGTGATTGGCTTTGTTATAACACAGATAGGGCTGTGTATTGTCCCACTGTAAACGCTTGCGAAGGACTATGTCGAATGTTATGACCGCGTGGTCACTACTACCTATGGGAGTCGTGATCTGAACGTTTTCCACTAGTAGCTGGTCACTAGTGAGCACATAATCCAGTCTAGAAGACTTCCCATCTGGGCCCCATCTAGTATCCATTCTGACATTTTCAGTGAATCCGGCCTCCCTGATGGTATGCAGCAGATTTCAATCAAATCTATCCTGGGCATATACCGTCATCAAGTTGAGAGATGGGGCGTTGAAGTCTCCAGCTATGACAATTTGATCATAACCCATGTCTTGTGTCGCTGAAATTGCATTTAGCAGTACCTGGTTGTGGTCTGCTCCACATGAAGGTGATCTATAAATGCTACCCACTAGATATTTGCAGTACCCAACGGTGTAAAAGGGCACCATATGGAGTCAGAAAGTTCAATGAGGGGAGGGTCCATTGCATGGACACATCTGAGCTGCTTGTCGACGTATATGGCGACTCCACCTCCTTCTTTCAGATCCCTATCTAGCCTGACTAGGACCATATCATTTATACTGACTTCGCTGTCTGCCACCGTAGGGGTTAGCCAGGTTTCCATCAGTACTATGATTTTGGGGTTCAGCTGTGGTTGCAGGTATCTAAGTTCAGCTATTTTGCCTCTTAGACCTCTCACATTACTGTACAGGCAACTGGTAATCAGTCTCACCACGTCCCCGTATTGGGGGGTGGTTGACGTGATGTGGGCTGTCGGTTGAGGAGTTATCCTACGAACTAGTTGTCCGATTCTCCGGGAATCCGCCTGTTGGCGTTTTTTCTTCTGATTCAATCGGAGCACTTGGATGACACTGGCTATCATCGTCCGTGCTGCACCGCTGTATTATGACAAGGGGTTGGGGATGTTCTATGACAACGTTTTGTTCTCTCCTTTGGGTACGAGGCCGGCTCTCGCAGCAGTGAATGTGTCTGCTGACCTTATCCTTGGTCTCGTACCATCTCTGGAGAGCAGTAGTCAAATGGTTTCGGGAGCTGAACTTAACAGCTGACAGACGTGGCGTGTTAATTGACATAAGGTGAGTGGGTCGAGGCAGTCTATAAATAGAGACAGCCCCTGAACTTCCCAGACCCATCTGGGATGCCAACCATCTCCATTGCTGTACATCGTGGCAGTGCTTCTCACAAGCGTTCCCAGTTACCAGTTCGGGAATGCCATGAACAACCATGGGGGCAGAAGGAATAAGCTCTGGCGACTCCCTCGCCGTCTGTCTTTCCTTCCATGGCCTATCTGGCCTAACAGGTATATTGCAGGTCCTCCCTATAGAAAGGACTTGGGAAGTCAATAAAACTTTTTCGGCATCCTCGGTAGAGCCCAGTGTTACTCTCAGTGGAGATGGTTTGCCTTGAGGAGCAGCAGTGCCCCTATACAATCTGCATAGCTTTACTGGTTGGATGTCCAGACCCAGTGTGCTACATAAGTTGGACCACTGTTCCTGATCAAACAGGGCCCTGTTTTCCAGCAGACTACTGCTACAGTCTGGTACATTAAAGAGGATAACGCAGTTTGATCTACTAACCGTGGATTTAGGTTCGGTCCTCGCACATTTGCTATCCCCCTTAAGACCGTTTTGTTTCGTCTGGTGCAACTGGGTATTATTGTGTGTCGCAGTGCTGTGGCCACTTTTACTGGTGGACGGTAAGGGTCTTTTCCCAGCGACAGATACCCTTGGTGCTTCAACCTCTGTGTCTGGGGCAGTTATGGCAGGAATTGCAAGTATAACCAGTGTGGATTTTGGTATCCCCGATTTACGTGCAATTGTGCTGTTTTCTGAGTTGGTGGGAGTAAAACGTTTCACGTTTTTTCCTGATACCTCTATGCCATCTTTAGCCTTCGAGGAACTACACGAGGCTGCATTAGGACGGCAACTTGGGCATATGTACCAGAACCATGGGCATGGGTTCTTACGCATAAAATCGTAATATGCCTTTGGTACCCCGGTGTCACATCTACAATGGACCCATTGCTTGCAAAAGTTGCATTCGAAAGCAGAGTCTACTTGTTCGACAACAGAATTGCAGACCTTGCAATCGTCTGCCTTCTTGGGGAACGTTTTCGTTGTCTTGCGACGTCGTGAACGTTTCTTATTGGCCTTCCTGTTTGTTTCAAGGCCTACTGTGGATATGGGTGTTATACTATTCTCACTTTGTGCAGATTTACCACTCGGCTCTATTAATCTAGTCGTGTTAACAGGGACGGAGCCACATCTGCTTGGTTGACTTTTCACAGCTTCACTGTAGGACTGCGGCGACATGGGCAATCTGTCCACACAGGGAATATTTACCCTGGTCTTCAAGACCGGTATGCGAGATTCCATCACCTTCACCTGTTTGCCTAAT